TTTTTGTTTTACTCCCACGATCTCATTGTTTGTGTGAAAAAGGAATTGTCCACAGTGGTCATTGTTATCTATCATAAGATCCATTCAGACAGCAGCTTTATATTACCAATTCTAAATAGGATTTGAAATGTGTTTAAATCTTTGCAGAAATTGTTACCATTTATTTAGTAGCCATTAATCTTCACCACTTGGTGCAAGATTCCTCCTTGGAACCATAGCTTAAAACACTGCTCTCAACCACGCTGAATCATCCATCCATCCATCCATTTTCTACCCTTTAATCCATTTCTGGGTCAGGGGGGTGGCAATCAGAGATGCCACCCAAGTCTCATAGCACCAGCCCCTCACTGATCCTCTGCAGGTGGTGAGTCCACAGGAGGACGGCTGCTCTCTGAGTGTGAGCAAAACTGAGCATAGCCTTGATCTTTCAGTGGGGGCTTTGGGCAAAGTGGGGTTAAGTGTCTTGCCCAAGGACACAACGACAGCAGTCATCAGTGGGAGTCACGCTGAATCAATAGTTTTAAAATCTTAACAAGCTAAAAAAAATTTAGGCTGTGTTCCCCCAAATTGCTCCTATTGTTGAAGGAGATTTGAGAAAAGTCAGTCAATGGAAAGACTGGCATATAAGGGACATAAGGGATATAAGGGACGCAATCACAACGACAGCAGTCATCAGTGGGAGTCGGTGGAGAAGGTGTAGAGGTGGGAATTGAACCCACGACCTTCAGGCCTGAAGGCCAATGCTCTACCAACTGAGCTACTGTCGCCCCACTGTCGACTTCCAGTTACATCTGGATACAATGCAACCAGAAATTACATTGTATCTTTAAATGAATGTGTTTTATACGGTAAGAGAGCATTCTAAAGAAGACTTCAAACCTCCACTATCTCAAGACAGTCAAGGATTTTCCTTTTGTCACTACGGCCTTCTCCACATGTAATCACTTATCTTTAATTAGACATGTCACTTTGTGTTGAAAAGTGGCTAATATTTTAAGGAAATCAATCTATTTTGGTCATTGCAGATCATGAAATCTTTTTGTTTAAGACCTATAGAGTCAATATCTCCCCCAAAATATTGAAGGATCCAATCGGTCAATAAACTAATGCATCACGGTTGGCGTCTGTCAGCAGGAGTAAATCACTGCCTGTGTGGTGTTTTAATGCTCCTCAATTGATCAAAATGTCACTGAGGTGTGACAAAGTGCAGTCACAGTCAAAATTCCAAAACGCGAGTGAAATAATTGTATAATGTGAACTTGACTCTTGTTTTTTTTACATATATATTTTTTATAAGACATTAAATCTTTTACCAGTTCAGTTTGTTGTATTGATGATGTTTGGCTATTCTCTCACAATATGTATTAGTTCACATAGGTAAAGGGTAAAGGGGTCACAAGAGCCATCCTTCTCTGTCACACTGATAATTGCTTTGAATTTGCAGCCCCTCCTCTCAATAAACACTGTGTGCTCAATCTTTAACAGGTCTAAATCATTTTTAGTCTACCTGCCACAAAATAATTACAGAATATATCAGGACTCTGAATAGAATTAGAGCCACAAAGTAAGATAATGTCAGCTCTACATATATATATATTTATATATATATATATATATATTTTTTTTTTATATATATATTATGCACATTTGTTAAATGTGACAGCAGGTTAGATTATACATCAGGTCTTGAGAAGTACTTACAGATGAAACTCAGAAAATTAGAATATTGTTCTAAAGTTCATTTGCAAATCGACTTAAAATATGAATCCAATATGACTCAAATCCAACGTGAAATATTATCATCATTTTGATGATTGTGGCTTTCAGTCCATCTTCAAAGTATAACTGTATGTATATTCTGACATGTTTTATTTGGGATTTGGGATACAATCTGTGACCTGATACTATGACAGCTTTATCATTTATAATTTAGTGCTTTTTGTATGTATGAAAAAATAAAAACACTCACCTTTTGCCCACTGCGGGCCGTTATCCCTCTAAGCTCGGGTCCTCTACCAGAGGCCTGGGAGCTTGAGGGTTCTGCGCAGAATCTTTGCTGTTCCTACCACTGCAAAATAAAAATATGAATATATATATACAATTATTATTGAATATGTATATAGATATAAACGCATTACTTTTAAATAACAGTAAGAAGTAATACATAATGTACTACGTTTTTGAAGTATCTGGTATTCAAACTTTACACAAATCGAATGCCAACATTGTGTTGTTTGATTATGCAAATTAGGTTTGAAAGGGCATCATAAATACTCATAAAATCTCACTTTTAGTGATGGATGCGAGTGCTCTTTTTTGCATATTTCAATAAGGAAATATACGAATAGTGCAAAAGCAAAGGTGTTCTAATCCCACAACATATCAGAGTGATAGTAAAGTATTCCATTTACAGTTTTCTGATGAAACTAATGCTTGCAGGTATTTAATAATAAACATATTTGCTTACTTTTCTTGCTGCCAACATGTACAACAGTTTCATTTATTTTATTTTTTTAAATAAGTCGTTATTTGAAGGGAAGACATTAAGACAGACATTTTCCATCCACAGTCCTTGGTTATGACAGTAAATATTTCAACCCACAAAGATAAATACTTTTTTTCTTCAATATTCTTGAATTTTTTCAAGTATTTTTTCAAGTATTTAATAATAAACATATTTGCTTACTTTTCTTGCTGCCAACATGTACAACAGTTTCATTTATTTTATTTTTTTAAATAAGTCGTTATTTGAAGGGAAGACATTAAGACAGACATTTTCCATCCACAGTCCTTGGTTATGACAGTAAATATTTCAACCCACAAAGATAAATACTTTTTTTCTTCAATATTCTTGCACTAGAGTGTATTGGAGATTTATCTACAGATGTATACACACAAGTATATATTTCTTGCACTATAGAGTATAATTTTCACTTATCTTGCTCCTCATTCCTACTGTTCTGTAACTTTACAGTACCCATTGTGCCCATTACAGTAAGAGAGCGATAAAACAAGCAAAAATCACGCTCTGTCTCATGCCAGGGGACATAAGGTTGTTTTAAACTTGCTTTTAAAAACATATTTTTAAATGATTCAAAGGACTTTCTAACCTAATATTATGTTATCTGCAGGTCACAGCTCCTCCGCTCCGATGCACAGGTGTGTGTCTGATCTCATTTATCAGCCTTGTTAACCCTTGGCAGGAGCCGTGTACAGAGTCTACAGAGCAGGGGCCCACTGGGGGACACAGGCACTTGGTTTAATGAAAATCCCTATTTCACAGCCCACCCACAGGCACACCGCCCCTCCCTCCAGAGAAGTGACCTACCGACCCAGCAACAGTTCAACCAATGCAACATGGGCTTTTGCATATACGTACATGCATCATAATTTACTTTAGCTTGCACTCAGATGAGAATATCAACAATTTTGATATTTGCACAAACACACGTCACCATCTGATGAAAAAAACTCTACGTCCTTGCATAGACCTGCCTGACATTTTTCATTTTCAAACACTACAAGTAAAATAAATACGGGATCAACTCGAATCCTCACAAAGAATGCAATACTTTTTCGAATTGGCCTGTTTGCTCTATGTTGACTTGATGCTGACTCAAAATAAATGTTTCCTTCATCAACTTGCAAAGATGTGTCAATGTGAGAGAGTGTTTGTACTGTATTAAGTAAAGTTAATAGTTTTGTGGGGTCACTTCAGGGTTAAGAGCACAAACATGACAGCACCAGGCCACAGGAAAGGCCACATTCATCAGGATTGAGCTCTGCAAGTCTGGACTAATTGGCAGTAATTCATCTTCACCTTTGCACATATAAGAGTTATTCTACACATCACAAAGTGGATTAGATGGAAATATCTCGAGCAGCCTATTCAAATATTAGAGTAGGACAGTTTTATAAGGACATGCTTATCCAGCCGATTTGCTGATATTTTATACTCCAAAGTTTAAAATGTAATCTTATTGACCTTTGTTTAACCAGGGAAGCTTCATTTCTTGTTTATACAGGTAATTATCAGACAGCACAGAATTTTAGATTTGTCGACCCAGAAATGGGTTATGGGGAAGAATATGGATGGATGCATAGTTGCACTGCGGTATTCTGATGGGGGTCTCAAAAAGACCACAGAATGGCTTTTTAAATTAACCAAAATGTACATATTAAAAAAACAAAAAACAATTACATTATTCATCTGGCTACAGTCTTCAACCTGTCTTGTTATTGGCAGTATATTTATACGAATTTGCTCAAGTAGGGGTGACTTTTTATATAGCAATAAAATAGATAGCTTTTCAAACAACCAACTTAATAAAGGGGAATTTGCAAGCCTTTAAAATATGTGTACTGGCGCTGATCTGTTTTTGCAAATTCAAATGTTCAACAGAAACTCTTCATTTGACCCCAATCACATCCAGGTTTAAATGTGTTATTGTTTGCGAACACACACTGTGGTTTAGGAGCATCCCAGGCTGGAGGTCTATTGTTTTTGGACAATGTTGGTTTTGGTGTGTGTCTTAAATTAGAATGTGGCGCTGATGTCTCCGGAAACACGAGTGTAATCTTCTAATGCAGGAGCCTGATGCAGCTGAAGGTGTTTGAGGCGCACAGGGGTTGAACATTACCTCACTCAGAGCGCTTTGTGTGGAGAGAAACGAGCAGGTAATTAGCTGATTAGAGGCCCGTCAGCGCAGCTCCAGAGCAGCCAATGAGCGCAGGCGCAGCGGGGGAAAAGGACAGTGATGGAGAGACGCTCAGCAGAAGTTCGCGCTGGACACTGATGCTGCAGTGAAGCGCTCCCAGAGGAATGATGCGACTTTTATTCACTTTACATCCTGTCTTTTCCATGAACGTGCGCGCGTACAGCCGGCCCGAGTGAAGCTTTGCTCAGACACGTGTCGACTGCACTGTAATGAAGTTGTGAAGACTTTGTGCTGCGTCCCACCGCACACATTTCCCACGTATTGTTTTCTTTGTAAATCAAAATGGAAAAGTCGAAGAACTTCTGCATCGACGCGCTGCTGGCGGACGAGGGCTCGCGGAGGGAGCTGTCCCCGGGTTTGAGCAGTGAGAGTCCGGCCGGAAGTCCAGGGTCAACCCCGTCCCCACGCGCGCAGCTGCACTCGGGGCTCATGTCCAAATCACTGCTGAACTTATCTCACGCTGGGATGTCCGCTGTCCCGGGCCTGTACCCTGCACCCATCTACCCTCTGCAGCACCCTGCTTTCTACAGCGGCTTCTCACAGCTGCAGTACCCGGTCCCCGAGCACCTAAAGGCGGCTGCACTCGCTGGCTCCATGCCGCTGGAGCACTGGATCCGCGCGGGGATCATGATGCCCCGAATCCCGGACTACGGCTGTGAGTCCAATATTGATGATTATATTATTATTAATACAACTTTCTGTATTCAAGACATGCGTTTAATTTAACTTTACCGTGTGGTCAGCTGTTGTAGACCAGTACAGGATTATGCCTGAATGTAAATCAAAAGAGAAAAGCCAGGAGTTTTGTATTCAATTTAATTCCAACCTATAACCTATATAAATTACTAAGGCCACAATATAGGCCTATGAATACACAGGTGAAGAAAGCCTGAATAAAATTAAGTCTTGAATTGACTATATAACTTTGACTACAACATAATAATAATAATAATAATAATAATAATAATAATAATAATGTATTATTATTATTATTATTATTATTATTATTATTATTATTATTATTACTATTATTATTATTTTTATTATTATTATGGGGCCATATTATTTGTTGGACCAAAGCTAAAATATAATAATGAAAAATAGCCTATATAAATGTCAATAAATTCTAAAGCACATTTCACATTTCATATTTATTTCTGTTGCCATCATTTTTAATGTTTGATTTTTAAAAGCATTAAATATTGTCTTATTGATTTACACCATCCATGTGTGTCCAGCTTTTATGTCAGAGATTTGTTTTGTGTTGAGGCAGTCTCTAAACTAAATATATTTGCTGGAGTAATTTACAGTCTCTCTGAAAGCACACGTCCTGAGCCTTGAGCTGAGAAGTAAATTATTCTAATCAGCAGTGATCCCCTTCACTACAGCTCTGGCCACTCCGGACACACATCTACTCCCCACATTTTCATTTGGTCTCATTTATTTCTCTATAAACGGTCCGACGATTGAAACTGTCTTCTGTGAAAAAAGAGACGATAAACAAACACCTAAAACGCTCTGTAGTTCATCAATAAAAGCCCAAAAGCATTCATTGAATTTTCATTAAGTTAATGGCACGCCTGTGTTTTTATGGCCCTACGCTGTGTCCCCTCGTCAACAATAAACTGGAGTAAAGCTATTACCGTTAATGATGGCCACACGGTGTAGGCATATGTCTACTGTTCCCTCCTACAAAATTATACTTCCTCCGTCCTTGGCTTTATGTAAAGAACAATGGCAAGAAAACAAGACACTCAGCATCAGCAAGCAATGCATTATGAATGAATTTATGAAAAAATGTGAATATTTGAACACAGCACGGAGACATGAATAGGCCCATTTGATGACACAGACAATCTTACAAAAGTGTGTTTGATTTTTGAGGTCTCTAAACCAGTGTCTTCTTCCTCCACAGCAGGCCCTCAGTCTGGTCTTCTGGGGAAGTGCAGGAGACCAAGAACAGCCTTCACCAGTCAACAGCTCCTGGAGCTGGAGAACCAGTTCAAACTCAACAAGTACTTATCCCGACCCAAGCGCTTTGAGGTGGCCACTTCTCTCATGCTCACTGAGACACAGGTAAAAGCACGTCTGTCATATTGTGCTGTGCATATGTATTTTATCTCTAAGATTTGACCCACCTGCAACTGACTATTCAGGTTGAGTTCATGTTGACATCTCAACATTGCAAAAAGCCTATAGTTAAAAATTAGGTTAGTTGAAAAGTCTGATTTTGTATAGAAACAAAGTCTGATTTCTCTCATTTGTCTTAGTTTAAAGGTATTCCGCTGTCATTTATGGGCCAGTCCACATTAAAACCTGTCAAAAAGTACTAAATATTTTCTCATTAAAGGTGTCCAGAAGTGGTGTAAAAAAAAATAAAAAAATAAAAACATAAGCATGATGTTGGCTGCAGGACTTTTTCTGCAGGACAATAATGTGGAAAAGGAAATCACTTCAGAATAGCTTCCTTCCCACTGAGTTGATTTGGCACTTATTATCAAAAGATATGTATATACAGTATATGAATCAATTTAGATTGTTAAACTTTCAACAATGCAACAATGGTAACGTTCTGTTAATGTCTGTTTTCAGGTGAAGATCTGGTTTCAGAACCGGAGGATGAAGTGGAAGCGCAGTCGTAAAGCGAAGGAGCAGACAAATGCCCCGGGACAGTCTGAGACAGAGAGGGGGCGTGGGACAAACAAAACCTCCACAGACAAAACAGAGTCCACGAGGCGCCCCCCTGACCCTGACGACGAAAGCCTGGTCCTGGACTTAGAGGAGGATGACAACGAAGAGGAAGAGGAGGATTACGCTGTTACCATGGTAAACGGGATGCCCAGGTCCACGGCCTTCCTCCAGCATAGCTACAGCCCCCACAGCACGTTTTCAGAGGACGAGATGGACGAGCTGCAGGTGGGGGACGCGGACCGCAAGACTGGAGCAGGTCTGTGAGAGTCCGAAGAACATGAATGCTGAGCAAAAACTATGATAAACAAACTCTTTCATGGAACAGAAGTATCTCCGCATGCTCACACATTTACCGTTGTGTGGTTGTCTTTTCAGAACATTGAATGCACTGCACAAAAGCCTTGTGTTAAAGCTGGGGTACCTAACTTTATAACCACAGAAAATAACCATGTCAAAAAATCCATGAACTACGTCCCACAGCTCTATTACTAGTTTTTACATGCAGGTTTTTTAGAGCTTTGTCACATCTTTAGATCATTTTTTTCAGAACGGACCACCCTCCCCAAGCCAATTCTAATAACATGAAAACAGCTTGTTGTGGTCTGAAACAAGACTCTTTCTTTTGTCATAAAGGGAAGGGCAAAACAATTCAAGTTCAGTACCCCATCTTCAGAAGAAAAAAAGAACGAGCCATCACTGTAGATTATTTATGTATGCATTTTTCATATTGATGTTTCTGAATTTGTCATGTAAATTAATTAATTTATTTTGAAATGTCCATAATATGTATTTATCTCAAATATGTTTGTGCTGTGCGGGTGAATAAAGCACTACAATAATTATCAAATCTTTCGGATATGATGCATACTGTATGCGTATTTATATTTTTTGCGATGTAGCAATATAAATCTAAGAAAAGGGCCGTCATATATTAATTACTGCTTTGGCTTACTGATGGCCAAATAATTAAGTTAATGAATTGGAAATGTTCTCCGCCTGATGGTGATGTCAGCGGCGGGACGGTGGGAGGTGCAGGATGTTTTATTGGGCAGCAAATTAATGTTGTTGATTAAGGAGCAGCCTGCAGAGCCGTGTGTCATTGAGCCTCTCTCAGACCACTTCCACATATTTATACAGCGATTAAACACATTAACAGTTGCCCGATGGACAGTAAATATATAGTGCAGGGAGAGGCCATAGAAAACCATTTAAGAAGTGCAATTTCTTAACACATCACTATCACAATACATACAAGTCAGCACCGCACCGTGCTGAACTTTTGAGGGAATTGCAGTTGATTTATTGGTAATGAGAATGAACAGTTAATAAAATATGATAATTGTAACTTTTAAAGGGCAACACAATAGTTCAAGAAAAGCTCCATGTTGTTTTGGACCATACAATTTCTACAAAGATGATCAAAATACGAATTGGTCACAAGATGATGAATGACCTATTTTTCAACAGCAATTGAATGAAATAAATCCATGTGTTTTATAATAAGGCTAAATCTGAGCTCTTGGCCGTTTTTATGGCAGCTTTGGGTCATACAGGAGGGCACAATAGGAAAAATAAAAGTCCTATCTATATAAATAATCATTTCAATGTAACCTTATACAGACAACTGGGTTGGACACAAGTTAACAAAAAATAATAAAATATATGTACATTTAACATGTTTCAGTGCAGTGAACTGTGATTTAACAGGGGACACATGCAAAGAGCCGGGGCACAGTCTCCATCATCGTGCTGTTTTAATTTGTCTGATGAAACCAATCAATAAGCTCATTTAGTTGTGCAACTTGTCAGGAGTATGACAAACACAGCGCGGCCTGTTTATGACACGTCCCTCCAACACTGGCTCCTTCTGACACAAAGGCCCCACAAAACACACACTAATTGATTCAGCGCTCCGATATGGGCATATAGTCGAATTTTATCCATTATTCGCAATGTTGGGTTTATTATTCTATGCGTAAATTAGTCCTGGTGTCACGGGCTTTCAAGACATGCAAAAGTGCTGACCATTCAGTGTTGTATTTTTTACAAATAATAACAATAATGTCTGTGCCTTTCCATAAAATTGTTCATTGTCTATTGAATCAATCAAGCCATCCCTAAGGACGCGAGTTTGGCCTTAGCACGGCGCGGTTACCAGAAATGCCCCATTTTCATAGATAGACAAATAAACCACCCTCTTTTTGCTTTGTTGCATTATAAATCAGCGGAACCCTTAAATATTTACACCCCGTAGTTTAATCAATCAGCAAAGCGTGAGTGTCATTACGTGAATATGAACAGATTGTCCTATCTTTTAACGTAATCACACATATTGGAGTAGGTTTCTCAAGGCCCCTGTTCTGACACTTAACTAATAGGCAAGAGAGGCCCTGAGTGACACGAGCCAATAAATTTGCATCTGTCCGACTGAAATGCCGTTCTAAAGCATGAAAAAGGCACTGTTTTAGGCTATAAAGTTTATTGAAAAGGCAGAACCCCAGAGATGTATTCATGAGCCGTTTATTGGTGCAGGAAATGTAGGATCGGTGTTGGGACAGGCTCCTCACACACTGTCAGTATTAAAGCGCGCATAACCTTCAGGACAAGCTCAGATTTTGTTGTTGAACAAAAGCAGCATTGTGTAAATACGATCACTTTAGGCCAGTTCTCAGGTCTCTGCACTGACTTCCTGTGGCTCAGAGGATTTAAAGCATCTCGGGTCTCTCCATGGCCTCGCACCAAAATACATCTGGACCGAGTGCCAAGTGAACCAGATCATCACCAACTCCGACTCTGAGGAGCACAAGCCTCCTGCTGGGGACCAATTTCAGGACTCAGGACTAAACGAGGCAGTATTTCAGATTTTTCCCCCTAAAATCTGATATCTGGAATCTTAAAATGTGTCGTGGTTTCTACTCTTACAATGTTCAATGTGTATCAATGTTTGCAGCGCCCAATGACCTTTCTCCATTTCAACGCCAATTATTAATTATATTATTGAGAAATATTGTGCTGCTATATGTCTTGCTGGTCTAAATATGTGACCAAGCCCAAAAATACACGCCTTTGAATAGTCGTGCTCAAACCAAACTGCTTTTAGGGCGAAGAACTAGTTAAATGGATTGTACTCGGGTTTTTTGTGTGGATCGTTCAAAAGAGCATTGCTGCCCTCTTGTGGTCAAAGTAAAATGAGCTCCCATCTAATTACTAGTATTAGCTAATTACATTGTTACCGATGTCTGATAATGACTATTAACTACCTGCGTGAAGTTGGCCCCTCATTGAACACGCATGCGCACAAAAACGATACCAATTCTGTTTGTGCTGCTTTAAAACAAATCATTGGCAATTATATCATCACGCATTCTGGGTGGCTACGTTTTGCTTGACAGCCAAAACAATATGATTCCTTTGTAAATGTGTGTGTGAATATATTCATTAATTTCTTCTCGTTTGTACTGCTATTGGTTCTGTTAAAGTGCTGCTTTTGATTTAAAGTTATAAGCAGGTTATGTTTTGCTTGAAACAGCCAAAACAATGATTCCTTTGTAAATTATGTGTAATATATATAGGCATTTCTTTGAAGTACTAATGTAATGTCCTGCCTTTATTTTACGTGTTCATTCATAATAAAAATAAATAAAAATCCTGATAAACTGAACTGCTAAATAAGTGTATTACAAAATAAATACAGCAGAGGAAGCCAGACACATTCACAAATATCAATTACCTCCTATGTATTTTAATTATTTTTATTATGAATAAACAACAAGGCAATAAATTAGTACAACAAAAAATTCTAATTCTCTCAAGTAAACAACCATTTATTAATTATTAATATTGAACTCAGAATCGTATTGTTCTGTCAGTCGACAATAAAAAGTTTTAGATGTTATTTTTATAGAAGAACCAAATAACTTTATTATCTACTAAGAAGACAGGACTTTCCTAAACAAGACTTACTAACTTTTGGTTCCGTTTGGGTTCAAATCAACCCTATACCTAATTTGTTCAGAAATGCTTCATAAAGTAAATGCTTATATTTGGTCAGATTACCAATTTTATAATAATAATAATAATAATAATACACAAGTACGTAAGATTCTGTAACGAAACATATGAGACCTCAAATTACTGTAAAGACCAAAACAGATGCGGCCCCCTTAACAACGGTTTATCCGATTATATGCGATCTGATCATTACGATCATTATGATCCAGGACTCTTGAACACTTTCTCTGCCCCTACACTGGCGAAGGGGGGGACAGAGGACAAAAAGTTTACTTGTGAACCCCTGCCATAGAACCATAGACTGTAAATATTAAAACATAGAACCCGGTTTGATCGTAGAACACGTGGTTTGATGGAGCATGGTTTTTGGATTGTGCGCACGTGGCTGCCGTAGTAGCGCGCGCTGGAGGCGGAGCACGTGATGAAAAGTTAACTGTAAACTCACTTCAGCTTCTCCTCCATCTCAGCCCCAACCAGTGCGTCTCTCCATCTGCCAAAGTGCTACGTTCCTCTGCGGTTCAGGTGCATCTCTTCCCCCACTGCGGCAGGCAACATGACCTCTGAACTTGGTAAGACTGGTCCTGATAGTGGCATTAAACTCTTTGATTCAGTGTTATTCGTCACATGATTGTTAGCTCGGTGGCTAACCCTAGCAGCGTGGTTGCCATCTCTGTGGCTGTTGTTTTGTGACGGGATGTTCTTGTTCGGCCGCAGCTCTCCTCAGTGTGTCGGATAAAGCTGGGCTGGTGGAGTTCGCCCAGAGGCTGGTAGATGTGGGACTCTCGCTGGTGGCTTCAGGAGGCACCGCTAAAGCCCTGAGGGAGGCAGGGCTGGCAGTCAGGTCTGTACTACTACCACGAGCTCTTAAATACAGTTATCAGGTGTGTCAGACATTATTGACAAATAAATCCTAAACATTGCCATTGAAATGTGCGATATGTGTTTACAGGTAGTAGACAAAATGCACACATTCTATGTGCTGAAACCAGTTCTAGAGGTCAAATTAGGAAATATGCTTTTAGTACTAAGAATGTAATCGCTGCTTAAATGATCACAATTTGATCATTTTAAACTAATTTTCAGTAATTCAAGATCATTAGTAAAGTTTCATATTTGGCACATAAACAAGTTGTGCTTATTTAGTTAAAATATGAAAAGTGCAAGCAATTTCTCATTTGGAATGAGAGACTCCTGAACTTTGTCTAATATTTGACATACTTGTTCCATGAGCATTTTGTAGTTTTAAAACTTTGAAATTATAGTCTGAGATAATTTCCCCCAAATTCAAGTAATGATTATATAATTTCTCCTGTTTTTGTTGTTGATTGCAAAGTACTTGATTGCAGTGTTCAGTGTGCAAGCAGGCAAAAGTTTTTTTGGAGCCACCCTTGCTGTTATTTATACTATTTTACATGTTTTATTTTTGCTTTTGCTTAGGATATGCAAGCTCTCTGTCTACACATTTGCTAAATACGACCACTACAATGGTTCTATTCAGTTCTATCTTTTAAAAGAAATGAACTTTCTCCATGTGACATTTACATTCCCTGCAGGGATGTGTCTGATCTCACTGGACACCCGGAGATGCTGGGAGGGAGAGTGAAGACCCTCCACCCTGCTGTGCATGGGGGCATTCTGGCCAGAAAAAGCCCCACCGACATGGCAGACATGGAGAAACTGGGATATAGTCTGGTCAGGTTGGAGAAACTGATTTTATAAATTTCTATCTCAAGAGTAGAGAGTCTGAGCATCGTGACTAATGGCAGTCGACAAGTCAATATTAAGGAAGCACGTGTGGCTCATTTCGGAGCTGCCAAATTGGAAAACTGCTGCTTCTCCAAATGTCTTGTGATTCCTATTTGTTTAGGGCTTGAACGATCTGTTGTCGCTGCAGATAAAACGGCAGGAAATCAATGCATCTGATTGTTAAGAAGTAGGCACAATCATAGTGGACAAATTCTACACTGATTATGTTATTTAAAACTGTTCTTTTCATGTTTCTATGTCATATGTGAAGTTCTAAAAAAAGTATGTAATAAAATTCCTCACACTCAGTTCGTTCAAACACTAAATTTAACATGCACATATTTATAACATTGTTTAGATCAGCTCTTCAGCAGTTTCAAGGATTTTACAAACTATTGATCTACCAACAACAGATCAGAAAATCAAACTAACGCGTAGCAGCCATAGGGAGTGGGTCGACCAATGTTCGTGAACTGTCTTTCAAACAGAAAAGTTACAAAATGGAGAATACTGCTCTCAGCCTAAAGTGTCAAATGGTGACTCACAGGGCTCTTTCTTATGCAAAATACGTGTTTTTAAATAAGACAAAGACTGCATGTTGTGGTCTGATCTGTTCACGACATTACAACTACACGTGTTTGTGGGGAAAAAAGTTGGTTTGACCTTATTTTATTTTCCAGGGTGGTGGTGTGCAACCTGTACCCCTTTGTAAAGACCGTGTCCAAAGCAGACGTCACAGTGGAGGATGCTGTTGAGCAAATTGACATCGGTAAGGTTCAAGAACTCAAGACCAACACTGTATTTTGAACACAGATTATTATATTCCATATGTTTTTAGGGGGCGTCACTTTGCTGAGAGCCGCTGCCAAAAACCACGCCCGAGTCACCATTGTGTGTGACCCTGATGATTACGCTGTTGTGGCCAAAGAGATGGAGACTTCTGCCGACAAAGACACAAAACTGGACACACGCAAGACACTGGCACTAAAAGTAACTTAATATGATTAAGGGCTCAAACACATCTATCATTATTCTGTATAAAGCTACATCTTTTGTATCACTGTGTAAGTTATATGGACATTAAAAAATAAGCTTGATCGATAATGGTGATTATTCAGTTAATAAGCAAAATGTTTTTAATTCATCTGTTTGTTCTATATTTCCTCAATCTCAACAGTGTGAGAACATATCCCAAACATTTTTGTTACTTGTTGAGACTTGACCTTTCTCATTGTTTAGTGATCAAGTGACTGAAGTGCTGCAGACAGCTTTTCATTCTCTTGTCTACATTTTGAAGCAGTTTGAGATTCACACCTTACATTTTATCATACCTAAGTTTATTATTTGAACATTAATTACGTCTCATTACTTTGATTGTTAACCCCTTAAGGATCACCTAATTTCGCCTGCTCCTTCTCGAATTATGATACCCAAATGGAAATGCTTATTGTGTGGACATCTTGTGTCTGATGTTGTGTTATGAGGCCTCATTTGAAAGGTAACACCTTCTAGTTTCTGAAAATGTATGTTACAGTTTGTTAGGAAGGACCCAGTCTGCACTACACCTTCTCAAACATGAGTCAAAGTTAGTTTTTTTTGTCAAAAAAAAAGAAGGCAATTTCAAAAGGTTCTCCTGAAGACATACTTTATGGTATGATGTTCAAACTCACCAGAGTAGATGTTCGTGGTGTTGGAAACACCTGTATGAAATTTTAGACCTTTAGGTGGAACTATTTTGATGCTGGGGCCTTTTTTGTAACTAATGGGCACATTCGGCACAAGTGGTCCATTTTTGTGCCAACTGTGCCAAAGTGTTTTACATGCAAATTATCAATGTTTTTACACCAAAAATCCATTTATATATTTTTTTGGCTATTATTCTTGCTATAAATAGCATTTTTTCCAGATATTGAAATGTTTTCAGAAAAACTATTATTTATATAGTTATAGCGCGTGTTCTCCGTGAAAAAGGCTCCGTCTTCCTCTTTACGCATTCAAATATGACGGGAACAGTGGGAGGAAACTAGAAGTCCGACACATCGCCTGAAACCTGAGATTATTGGCTACAAGATGATTTGATTGACATCCAAATCGGCCAATGGTAGTCAAGACAATGCTGTCTTGACGCACAGATATCTATGTGAATGGAGCGCTAAAGCTAGGTGCGCTTGTTTTACTCAACTTACTCTACCTTCCAAACCATAGCACTGAAAAGTCCGGGAATGGGCTTGTTTTGAAGGGGAGGCTTAGGGGAAGACGAACATACCCAGTGACGCTAGCTAAACAGTAAAATGTCCTCTTCATACAGTGCGCAAAGAACAGGTTTTGTTTTTGTTTGTGCAACTTTCAATACTCAAATATATTGTTGCAAGTGGATATCTACTATAAGGATGACTTTGAAGAAAAAACAACTGGATATAATTATTCTCTAGACCCTAACGAACAAAACGAATTCACACATGTGTGGATTAGACGTGATTTGCCCCAGAATATTAGCATGACAAGGTAAGAAAGGACAATATATATTTTAAATATATATACAGTTTGACTACTTATTCTTACTTTTGGTTATATTTAATGTTTATTTGAACATAATACGTGTATAGAGGTGGGAATAACCTTTCAAAAGAGATATAGCTTGACTATATTGACACAAGTGAATTCTAATACTGATGCTGTTAAATGAAAAATAACTGAATCCTCCCTGTACAGGGAGGGTGATCCTTAAGGGGTTAAATGACAACAATCAACACCAAATTTGTGTGTTGCCATTTTTGAATAAAGGGTCCAGACAAAGTCCAGTCATGGCTTTGTTTAAAATCAGTGTTCAGGTTTCAACATGTGATGGACCCATGAACTTTTACCTTTTATCACCGTTCAAACTGAGCAACAGAAAAGATGGATTATTAGAATTTGAAGTTGTCTAGGGCTGTCAATCACCCTATTATTATTATTTTTTTTTATCATTTAAGAATTGGTCCGTTAATACAAGCAAGAAAAAGTAATTTTCTACTTTATGCTGAGCTGTTGCTACACTTTTTTATTGACTGATCTATCAAAGGGGCAATGTCTTAAATGGGCCAGAACTATTTGTTTTGATCACGGCCCTAAAGTCGTTTTGGAAACTTGGAGTTGATTCAGATTATTTTGCCGCACGGTCAGAATTTGTAAAAAACATGATAAAACTGAAAGTAAGTTGACATATTTGGCATTCATGGACTCTGTATGCTTTGTAGGCATTCACCCACACGGCGCAGTACGACGATGCCATTTCAGATTACTTCCGTGGTCAATACAGTCGTGGGGTTTCGCAGCTGCCTCTGCGCTACGGCATGAACCCTCACCAGGCCCCGGCTCAGCTCTTCACTCTGAGGCCGCAACTGCCCCTCAAAGGTGATTGACCACGGCTCACATGTGATGACCTTACATAGATGACACATGTTTGACTTTTGCCTGCAGTCATCAATGGTTCACCAGGTTTTATCAATCTGTGCGATGCTTTGAACGCCTGGCAGCTGGTGAAGGAGCTGAAGGAGGCTCTTGGTCTCGCGGCTGCTACGTCCTTCAAACATGTCAGTCCTGCAGGTAAATCTATATCACATTTGTTGTCACTGTCATGAAGTAAAGGCTCAGACTCATAATGACCTTAAGACCTGTGCGCTCTAATCTGTAGGGTTCTGCTTTTGTTAAATGAAAACGTTTTTATTATTTTATTTTATGGACATTTTTCATTTGTCCGGTTGTAGGAGCTGCCGTTGGCGTTCCGTTGTCTGAAGAGGAGGCTAAAGTGTGTATGGTGCACGATATGCTGCAGGATTTAAGCCCCCTGGCAACTGCCTATGCCCGAGCCCGAGGTACCACGATTAGACCCAATGTGCAGTTTAGACGTTCAAGATACAAGGGGATAGTCTATTTATGCAGTTCATTTTGTACTAACAACCTGTGTTTTCAGGATCAGACCGGATGTCCTCTTTTGGAGACTTCATAGCACTTTCAGACATTTGTGACGTTCCCACTGCAAAAATCATTTCTAAAGAAGTGAGTCAAGTTTAAAATGATAAAGCTATTTTATTTTTATTTTATTATTTTTTTATGGAAAGTAACTTAAATCTGAAATGGAAAGGTTTCTGATGGCATCATTGCCCCTGGATATGAAGAGGCCGCTCTCAAGATCTTGTCCAAAAAGAAAAATGGCAACTACTGCGTGCTTCAGGTGAGATTCTTGTATTTACAAATGAGTAACGTAACTGCATGCATGCAAAATACATTACAATTTGAAAAAAATAAATGGAAAACAAATTGTTACAGATAGACCCTGATTATGAGCCAGAGGAGATGGAGGTGCGGGTGCTGTTTGGACTGTACCTCAAACAGAAGAGAAATGGGGGCCTTATTGATAAAGCTTTCTTCAGCAACATAGTCTCCAAAGGCTCGGTAAATATATATTTTTATAGTTGTAACATTTACACCAAAGTAATTTTAAAGGGCACCAAACATTTTTCACAAATTTTGTTTTTCCCTTTTTTTAAGCTTTCTGATGCTGCTGTGAGAGACCTTACTGTGGCCACTATTGCTGTGAAGTACACTCAGTCAAATTCTGTGTGCTATGCTAAAGATGGACAGGTAAAAAGTGTCTCCGGATCCAAAAGTGTTTTTAAAATGCCTCAAATACGCACCCAAATACCCAAATACGTTTTTGTGACGTCCATAGTGCTCTTGATATATTTAGTTTATTGTGTAGAAAGGGTCAAGCCAAAATTACTTATTTTTTTGAGCCGATGTTATAAACTTGTTCCTGATCTATAAGAAACTCCAGTCTGTTTTTGAGTAAGAACTTTTGGCACAAACTTGTAACTCCACCCCTTATGTCTAAAAGCTTGTCTCAGTCCTGTGACGGTAACAACATTGTACCACTAAGAAAAGTTTTTATTTTTTCATTTTATTTTTCAAGTTGTCAAAAATTATGTCCTTTTACAATCACATGGCTGTAGTTGCATCCGGTAATATAAAAACAAATCCTACACTTACAGCATAATGGTAAAATTCCCCCGCCTCTATATTCAGAATATGGTTTTTTTGGGTGTTTTTTTTGTATGTAGGTGATTGGGATCGGGGCCGGACAGCAGTCTCGTATCCACTGCACTCGTTTGGCTGGAGATAAAGCTGATAACTGGTGGCTGAGGCATCACCCCAGTGTCCTCGGCATGAAGTTCAGAGCCGGTGTGAAGAGGGCCGAAATGGCAAATGCTATTGATCAATACGTCAGCAACACCATTGGCGAGGCAAGACATCTGTATTAATCCATGACATACATTTATTGAAATGTCTCGTTTAATTTCATCATGTTCATAAAATGTGTTTGTCATTCACTACTTTGGTCACGGATGAAATAATTAATGTAAATGTCTCCTTTTTGTCCAAAGGGCCCCGACCTGGATGTGTGGAAGTCCATGTACGACGAAGTGCCGGAGCTTCTCTCTGAGACAGAGAGGAAGAACTGGGTCAGCTCCCTGAAGGCGGTGGCTGTGAGCTCCGATGCCTTCTTCCCCTTCAGAGACAACATCGACCGAGCCAAACGGGTCTGTGCCCATTCAGTTTTAATTTCTAGTATCTTTTTAATTATAAAACATGTATTGGCCATAGGAATGTTTGACAGTTATTTTATAGACTGTATATAGATGTACTCTGCTGGCTCCTCTTCACTTGCATTGAAAATTAAACTTCTAGCTTAGTGACCATTTGTGTCACACTTACCATTTGAGGCTTTTTGTGAATTCAAATATGAATCATTAGGCAAGGCAAGGCAAGGCAAGGCAAGTTTATTTGTATAGCACAATTCATACACAAGGCAACTCAAAGTGCTGAACAAGATAGCATTAAAATCATAAATAATTACAGAACATTAAAACGAAAGATAAAAATATAAAATCCCTCAGTTGTATGCACAGCTAAACAGCACCGTTTTTAACCTGGTTTTAAACATTGTCAGAGAGGAGGCCTGTCTCACATCTTCAGGAAGATTGTTCCAGATTTTAGCAGCATGAATCTGAAAAGCAGCCTCCCCATGTTTAGTTCTGACTCTGGGCACTAACAGGAGTCCAGTCCCTGTGCTCCTCAGAGTCCGGGCTGGTTCATATGGGACTAACATGTCACTAATATATTTTGGTGCGAGGCCATGGAGAGATTTGTACACAAGCAGAGCTGTTTTAAAGTCTATTCTCTGAGCCACAGGAAGCCAGTGCAGGGACCTGAGGACCGGACTAATGTGGTCGTACTTCCTGGTTCTAGTCAGGACTCGAGCTGCTGCATTTTGAATGTACTGCAGCTGTTTTACAGCCTGTTTGGACAGACCTGTGAGCAGGCCATTGCAGTAGTCTAACCTACTGGAGACAAATGCATGGATAAGAATCTCCAAGTCTGCTTTAGACACTATGTTTTTGATCCTGGCAATGTTTTTTAGATGGTAAAAAGCTGCTGATGTTACTGATTTGATGTGGCTATTAAAATTTAAGTCTGAGTCCAGTATTACCCCTAGATTTCTGACCTTGTTAGAAGGTTTTAGGGAGAGAGACTGTAGGTGACAGATGACGCTCTCTCTTTGTTTCTGGGGACCAAAGACAATCATTTCAGTTTTGTCTGCGTTTAGCTGAAGGAAGTTGTTTTGCATCCACTCACTGATCTGTTGGATACAGTGAAGGAGTGAGTCCACTGGTCCATGTTCTCCTGCAGTCAGTGAGACATAGATCTGAGTGTCGTCTGCATAGTTATGATAGGAAACTTTGTTTCTGCGTATTAACTGACCTAACGGCAGCATGTAGAGATTGAACAGAAGAGGTCCCAGGATCGACCCCTGTGGTACTCCACAGGTCAGGGCCATATGATCTGAGACACAGTTTCCAATCTCCACAAAGTACTTCCTGTCTTCAAGGTAAGACCTAAACCAACTTAGGGCGGTGCCAGCGACGCCAACCCAGTCCTCTAGTCTCTGTAAGAGGATCTCATGGTCGACAGTATCAAAGGCAGCACTTAGATCTAACAGGATTAGGATTGAGACTTTGCCTGCGTCAGTGTTCAGCCGGATATCGTTTGTAACCTTAACAAGAGCAGTCTCAGTGCTGTGGTGGGGTCTAAAGCCGGACTGAAACATATCAAATGAGTTGTTGATTATAAGAAATCTAGTAAGCTGTAGGTAGACAACTTTCTCAAGGACTTTCCCCATAAATGGCAGATTTGAGATGGGACGATAGTTGTTAAGTACCGTAGCATCCAGACTGCTCTTTTTTAGCAGGGGCCTGATGACTGCAGTTTTCAGGGCCTTTGGGAATATTCCAGAATCAAGGGACATGTTTACTATCTGTGTGAGTGAAGGTAACAGACTGCTCAGAACAGACTTTAGAAATCTAGTGGGTAGTACATCCAGGCTGCATGTGGAGGAGCTCAAACTGGAGATTATCTCTTGGACAGTTTGATCATTTACAGGTGCAAAGTAAGTTAGCTCAAAGAGCCTTTCTGGCTGTTGGATTGTTATCTGTGGATTGGAGACAATGGCGTTTTTGATGCCTTGAACCTTGTCATTGAAAAAATGTGCAAACTCATTACATTTACGTTTGGAAGTTAGCTCTAATGGCATTTGAACAGGGGGGTTTGTTAATCTATTAACTGTTGAAAACAGAACACGCAGATTGTTGCTGCAGCCTTCAATCATTTCAGAAAAATACCTTTCTCTTGTACTACGTAGCACCTGGTTAAACTCGCACAACTTATCTTTGAAGATCTTGTAATCAACCTGGAGGTTGGACTTGCGCCACTTCCGCTCGGCCCTCCGGCACTCTCTCTTTTGTGCTCTGACCGAGTCTGCTTTAGCCCACGGCGCCTTCTGCTTATTTTTCACTATTTTAACCTTCACAGGAGCGATGGTGTCCAGAACTTTCAAAACACTAGAGGTGACAGAGTTAAACAGTTCATCTACAGTAGAATACGATGCATTCTCAAAGTTTATCATTCCCATAAATAGTTCACCCGTATTTTCATTTATGTGTCTTCTTCGTACAGTTGCAGAGTCCACTGGTGGTTTGTTAGTGAAACACATGTCAAAAAATATACAAAAATGATCCGAAAGCGCAACATCGACCACGTTTACATTATATATGTTCGCCCCCTTTGTAACTAACAGGTCTAGAGTGTGCCCTTTGCTGTGGGTGGGGCCACTCACATGCTGAGTGAGACCAAAAGATTCAAGAAGAGAACTCAGCTCTTTAGCATTTCTGTCATCAACATTATCCACATGAATATTAAAATCACCTGTAATAACTAAACTATCAAAATCTGTGCATACAACTGAAAGCAACTCTGTAAAATTATCAATAAAACTGTGACATGACTGCGGTGGCTTGTATAGGACAACGAAAAGTATTGGAGGAGATTGTTTTTGTTGTATTTTAAAAGACACATATTCAAAAGACGGAAACTTCCCAAGAGACATTCTATGGGAGACAAAGTGGTCTCTGAAAATGGCAGCTAAGCCTCCTCCTTTTTTGTTTTCCCGTATTTCAGATTCAAATTTGAAATTTGGTGGTGATGCTTCTATTAAAACTGCATTTTCTGTATTTTGGTCAAGCCATGTTTCAGCCATGAACATAAGATCTAGATTATAAGAACAAATAAAATTATTGATTAAAAAAGACTTGTTACAAAGAGATCTGACATTTAGCATAGCAAGTTTCAAAGTTTCAGGATCAGCGGTTGTGGTCGGCTGATTCTTACACGGAACAAGAATTAGATTTTCCTGATTAGACTGATTAACTCCAGATGTTTTTCTGTTATGTATTCTTTGTGTTATCACTAAGGGAATGGCACAGGTGGCTTCACGACAGGGCCCCAGCCGGGTCTCTCCTCTAACTAGACTGCCAGTGGCTGCGAAGCAGAGACCCTGTGCATCCTAGTGTTTAGAGAAAAGAGGGGTAGGGGAAGGCGGGGGAGGAGGATGGAGAGGCGGGTGGTTCTTGGGAGTTGGACGGGGAGGGGTTGAAGGTGGATGGGTTTTTGGTGATGGGTTAGGGGAGGGGCAGGCTGAGTTGGGTGGTGGACGAGGGGGGAGTGGAGGTGGAGGGTTTCTTGGTGCTGAGTTAGGGGGGGGGAGGGGGGCTAAATGAGCAGGAGGGGGGGGTGGAATACTTATGGGGTTAGAGGAGGGACGGGTGGATTTTGTGGGAGAATTTGAGTTGGACGCCCTAGGTGGCTTTGGAGGTACGTATGGGGAGTAGTTTTGAATGTTAGATAGGACTCTTGATCTGGCTACAGTGGGTGTGAGAGGAATAGTCTTCATCGCCGATCTTATCATGCCTGCAGAGTGTTCTGGTAAATCCAGTAGTGAAGGCGGGGATAGAAAACAAAGGGAAAGGTCGTCCTCATTTTCCCTAGATGGAGTGGATGTAGCGGGGGGGACCCAAGCCGGGTCCATGGAAGGTGATGAGGGAGTCTTTGGTGGAGACAGAGGTGGTTGAGGAACCCCCAGTACAGGCCTGACTGTAGCCTGGAGTAATGGGGGAAGCTTCACGGGAGCTGTAGGTGGGGAAGGTGCTGCTGAAGATGATGGAGCAGCCATCTTGCTAATCAGATGCCTTCATTTACTGAGGAAATTCCAGCTTGCCTCATTGACGTTAGCAACACATCTGCCTCTGTTATGTTGCAAATCAAAAGGAAATAGACTCTAGATTATGTTCTAATCGTACGGGTGACGTCAGTACTGTTCACCCCTGATGTACTGTCTCTGAGTAATGCATAGAGGTCGGCTCTTATTCATCATAATACATGGTTTTCCCTACAGAAAAGTTTTGTAGCAATAACATGTGAACCAAAAGCACAACATTTACTGTTAAAACACTTTTTTTTTTCTTTCTTGTGAGTGATGTTGAGTAGGGCAGTTATTTTTCACTTCTGTCTGAAAAATCTGCTCTAAAGATATGACTGAGGCCAAACAATAATGCATTTGAAAAAAATGCATTATGCGTTGTTTTCAGAGCATGAGTTGTATCCAAAAATGTCATGAAAGTGGGGTTCCCCAGCTTTTAAAAACTCAATTTAGGCATTATTAAATATGTCCGATAATGTCAAGTTCTTTCAATTTATTGAACATTGAAATGTTTTCACTATTTAAACACAAAAAACCTTTTATTTGAATTTTCTCAATAGTGCTAATTTACCTCTCAACAATCCCTCTTGCATTTATTCACTATTTTTCTTTTGTTTCTTTTAGTTAAACTTTTTAATGCCCATTCGAGCAGCTTTTCCGTGTTGTAGTGTTCATTGGTTGTGCTTTTTTTTTTTTTACAGAGTGGAGTAGAGTTCATTGCTGCTCCTGCGGGCTCCGCAGCTGATGAGGTCGTCATCAATGCCTGTAACGAACAGGGCATCACACTGGTGCACACAAACCTGCGCCTCTTCCACCACTGAGCCTCCCCCACAGGCCTCCCCCACAGGCCTCCCCCCTGCTGTTACTGTCACTGTCTTTAGTGCATTTTGTAATAATATTACATTCCAGTTTTTATTGCAATGAATTGTATGTGCACAACGAGGTCTGTAATTGGTCATCATTAAACTCTTGTCTCAAAAGTTTTTTTGATCAATACAGTCTAAAACAAATTGATTTTGGAACTACAAGATGTCTACCAGTATATATTTTTATATATCGTGTTTTTGGAGATGGATAAGATGGATCTTAAGACTTGTCTTAAGAAGCGCTTCCGAAACTGATGTTATGACCCTGTTGTGCATAGAAAAGGTTTGGGAAGGTTAAAAAGGACCTTTTTTCTTATCAAAAGTTGAAGCTAGTACTAATTAATTATTCAGGAGAGGTGATCTGGAAGCAGGGTGTAAGGACCATTAACAGTCGAAGCTTCACTCACACATTTGACTCACTTCCCTACGCCCCAGATAATGACGGCTGAGAAGAGAAATGTGCCACCTCTGTAGGTGGTAGTCCACAGCCGAAACATTGTATTCAAGCAGTACTCTATATTTATTAAAATTACATTTTAAACCTTAACATTTAAAAAGTTAATTATGTGTCTATTTTCTACGTTAGGACGTTTACTTTATTGTCGGTGTAGGGAAAGGTGTCCTCTGCATTTCAAATCATTTGAATTTAGTAATTCAAATGTCCATTTACAGCCAATTGCAAAATAAATCCAGTTTAAATCCTAGTCCTAGTTTATATTTGGAATTCAGAAGGTGGAATACTGGAGTTGATGTGATGTAAAGTTTTATATAAAGTAAAATGGCCAAAAATGTAATCTTGGATCTCTCCAGCTTTATTACAACAATGGACTTTTTTTTTTGTAGAAACAACTTCAGCACAAAATACAAAAATAGAAACGTTTGATTTCTCGCATGGAGGCTGTTACATTCACACTTAGAGATTATGTGTAGGTTCCACACAGTGCTTTAAACGAGGGACTACATAAGGGTTAAACATGGGTAACATGACAATCTTGTACAACAGTCAGTGCTCACATTTCTTAAGGCTTTTGGATTTTTGGCGAGAGAAAAAAAGGCATTGGTTCTTTTACTGTAGATTATCGATTATGGATGTCAAAATTGTGAGGACAAAATTATTTTACAGCAGACAGTTTTGTTTTAGCAGAGAATGAAATTAAAAGTGCAGTGATGGGATGGAGAAGAGGAAAACTGCTGGTGCTTTACTCTCGTGGGTTTGGGGGAGCTTGGGCATCTGCCAACAGGTCGGGCCGAAGACACTCGATCGGACAGTGGATATTCTGCAGAGGAGAGGAGAAACGATAAATGCAAAGTAAATGGAAGTAGCATCCTAGGCCTTTTAGACCAGGGTTTTCAAACAACCAGGTATTTTGTGCCCCCTAGTGGACATTATATGGCATGAGGTTGTATAATTCACAGCATGTATATTGCCAGAAAATATTGATCCCTAAACAGAATTACGAATTAAAAGTAGAATTAGTAAACATTCAGCCCAGACTAATTGCAGCTGAACTAGTTTGGCTCATAGAAATATATAAACATATCACCCAGTTTTCTTACCAGTTTGTGCAGTGTGTTGTCTCTGTATCTCACAGGCTGCAGCAGAGTCGGGTCCAGATCTGCCCCAGGTCTGCGGCAGTTTTCACATCTCCAGCCCTGAACGAACAATAGTTGATGTTTGATTTTGCCAATTTAAGATGTTATATCCTAGATTTCAGAGTTTTTTTATTACCTGTTGTCCTCCAAAGCAAGTGCAGGTACAGATGGCTCCCAAGTATTCCTTCTGCCACTGGTTTCCTACTTGATACGATTTGCCCTCGTCATAGCACATGGACTCATCTTAAAAAAATAAAAAAATAAACTGCATTCAAAACTAGAACTAACTGAAAAAAGCAATGAAGAAATGGAGCTACTTTCTAGAAACGTGTCCAAACATTGCAGAGGATAACAAAATACATAAATGCAATGGTTAAAATACATGCAAGGATGTGTGGAACTACAACAATGATTTAGGATTTAATGTATAAGGTATAAACATGTTCAGTTTTGTGCCACGCTTATAATCTACATCAGATTTCTTACAAAGCATCATAGGAATTAGTAAAGTGTATGGACATTTACGAATGTTCTGTAAATAAAGATAACATAATTGAACAAGTCTGTATCATAATAATAATACGTTTTGGACACTTACGGGGTTCACATTTGAATTCTCCTTTTCCATTTCCCAAACAGGTGCAGCTCATCAAATGTCCATTCTCAGCTCTACGATCCCACTTCTCCCCAATGCGGTAGTTATTTCCACTGTCATGGCACCACTCTGAAGGAACAGGAAGAATTAGAGGGACCTAAATATGCATCTGAAGCGATTTTAGTTCTAAAGTAAATACATAGGTGGACACAGATCTGTAAAAACAACATAATTGGAAAGTCGTTCTCAGCGGCACTAAAATGGACTGAGATGGAATGGATATGTTCTCGGTTGTACAGTTTTTAACAGCTTCCACGTGCCTCATATTGGTCGTGAGGTTGTAGTTTTGATCTGGATTTCTCTTCACATTTACACCGAATTGAGTCTGCACTATAGCACATATCTTTGCACGTCCTACCAGCACCCCTCCGAGTCCTAACCTCTGTATTCAAGAGTAAAAACTGTCCAGATTTGAAACCCTTCATTCAATGTGTCACTCCTGCATGAATATGAAATGACGTGCGTTATCGCACATTAGATAATCTATATCTTTTTTCACCTTTTTTTACATGTTTGCACATTTCCTGTTGTTTTCACATTTCTTGTCTTTTGCACACCCTGAGTGACCATAGCAAATTTACGATTTCATGATTCATACCATATCGTCAGAAAAACAAATGCATGATGGAAATAGACAACAAAGTAAAACCAGAGATTTATTATGTAGCAAAAGCTGATCAAAAAACCCCAAAGGTTCTTGAAATAAGTCATTTACAAGATGGTCAATGGAAAACAAAATTTGATAAATACTTCTTTCTAATTGAGAAATTGTGTCTTTATAGTTTCATTGGTAAATCTTGTTTTAAGGAAAGTCAAAAAATACTATAAATCTTTTTGGTAGTTTTTTGTGTTTGATGTAAAATAATGTCACATGTAGAACCGAACGTACTTGAGGAGTCACATCTGAAGTGTCCGCTGCCCAGACCCAGACACCTGCACCACAGTTTGAAGCCGGTCTCTGACATTCGCTCCCACTCGGCCCCGACGTCGTGATGCGTCGCTGTGAAAGAGTCGTAACAGGAGTCTGTGGAGGACGGCGCTCCGTCAGGGTCTGAAAGGACAAAAACACGTAATTATTTCACCACAGAAACAGAATTATTTTTATTGCCATTGACGTGCAATAAAATACACACAATATTCCTGTGATATTTTTACATTCAATTTAAGCCTCTCTTAAGAAACATTTATTTCACGTACTTGTGTTCCCAGCGGTGATGATCTGCTCCAGGATCTTGTGGTTGAGGCTTCCCAAAATGGCTTCCACAATGACATTATAGTTTGCTCCTGGGGTGAGTCCGATCAAAGTGGCAGTTGTGGCTGTACCAGGCAAACGGACCTGAGGAAAGAACCATATATCATATAATTGATATTTAGTTAACATGGTGGCTAAATAGTTAACATGGCAACAATACATACACATTAACATACAAAGATACAAAGTCTGTTGTTGACTAAAGAAAAATAATTGTTGAATCAATACATGCTGATACATGTGTTGACAAGAACCTATCCTTATATTAGGAGTGTTTACATATTGTTGGGTACATAGTTAGCATAATGGAATATCAAATGTTTGTTGTTGTGTGTGTGGTAGTGTGTCAGAATCAGAATCAGAATCATTTTTATTGCCAACGTGTGTGTGTGTGTACCTGCTAATTGTGCATGTGTGAATTTGTTTGTACATGCTGTTGTGGTTGTTTTGAAATCTACTAATGACACCTACATATATAAGCCTGCACTTTATACTTTTAACTAAAAAAAGAGGTATGTCTACTTTTACTTGTAATAACTGTGGAACCTGAAGTTCCCAGGTCTCCCTTCACAGTTCTAACCAGGCCCTGCCCTGCTTAGCTTCAGAGGTCTGGTAGAATCTGGTTTTGCATGCAGGTGTACCTCAGACTAGTAACTGTATAGTTCTCTGTGCATTTGACAATATTAACTGATCACTCAAGTCCTAGTACGTACACAGCCATAGGACACAGTAGTCTTCAGTCACAAGGGGCTGGTGTGGCGACAGGTTTTTCATTCCAAGACTTGATGAATTTGGTGGAGTCTGGTGTGCTCCTGCTTGGTTGGAATGAAAACCTGCAGCCACACAGCCTTTTGAGGACCACCGAGTCATGACCAAATACCTCCTTCATCTCACCTGGAACAGCTTCTCCCTCAGGCTGGACAGAGGCTCACAGGACACCACGTATGCGTTGCTCTGCTTGTATGGCTTCCAGGAGATGGTGGTTTGCGTTTGGGCTTCTTGGGGCAGTTTCGTGATGTTGCCGATAGGAGCGCCGATTGGAACGTTAATCTTGACTATGGGTAACCTCCGCCCTTCTGCATCGGGAAGTGGCAGAAACACCAAAGGCTCACGGAATTGTCCATAAGTTGTCTGTCTGTCTCCGTTGTTGTTATACTCAGTGTACTCCACGCCCTGGCTCTGGCCACTGTGCCCGTCCTGCCCGTTGTTGCCCACTACCTGAATCTTATTGTCCACATCGGTTTCGGGCACGTCAAGCTTGTCGTCGACGCCGAGAGGCTGGTGCGGCAGCGGGAGGGGGAGCAGGGAGTCTGGTTCTAGGCAGGAGAAAGCAGGTTGTGGAAGCAGCGAGTTACACTACAGGGAGGTCAAGCAAAGCTGCAGTGACATATCTCAGCCAACAAGAGGCAGCAGATATGCCCTTCAACCACAGTAACACAGTAGCATTAGGAGTTACACACAAGATTATTTTGAATGGTATTTCTGAGCACATTCAAAATAAAAAAGATTGTTATAATCAAAACTACTGATTTTACTATAAGATTCTATAGGGCCACAATAGCACACAGGCGTAAAAAGGACAAAAAGTGCTTGAAATAAAATGTATTTTAATTTTAATTAAGCATATTTTACTGAGTTTAAAATTTAACTAAATCTGCAGGTGCTATTGACAGTTGGAAATATAGAATATCAGTCAAAAGTTAATTTACTTCTGTAATTCACCTCATTACAGGCAGAGTTAGATATATATAGTCTATGTTGATGATTCTCAGAAAATATGGTCATAATCTTAAAAATGTGTACCAAACAAAGGCTTGGCTTATGTCAATTTCTATGTAATGAGACTATATCATATTTTGGTTTCTCAATTTAAATAGAAAAAAATGAATACATTTTAAAAACATATTTTAATTTTCTGATCTTCACCTGTACTGTACTGATAGAATACCGCTCAATTCAAGCAATTGTTGACTTTTTTCTTACCTCTCATATTCAAGTTGGAGTTTTGATCCAGGGAAAAAAAAAACTCTTACCCAAGAAAAATGTCTTTTGGTCCTCATAGTGTGATGTTGGTGTACATATGGACACTCAATCCATGAATGTTAAAATCAAATTTACTCACTGGTGATGATTCGGCCGATAAGAGGGGTGCTCCTCAGGCTGTTTTGGATAGCAACTATTTTGATAATGTACTCTGTCAATGGTCGTAAATCTAAAAGGGAAACAAAAAGTTTGAAAGGTTATCCTCAAACTGAAAAGCTGGAGTTTAACTTTAAAACCACATCAACAAAATTGTGTAATAACTCGCAAAACTGTTAAACGGTTTTTGAAGTAAACGTTAAAAAGTGAAAACGAGAAGACCACCCTCTCTTTTTCACTGATTTGTTCACACCACACCTTTCTATTGGGCCAAACACAAAGTACTACTGCATTAAGACAATTAGGAACCCCAGATTTAAACGTGGCTCATCAAACCATCGCATTTTGAGTGGTACACAACACTTCATACCGGATATTGTGGCATAGTTCTGTCCCGCGTGGGGGCTGGGGACGAGCTCGCGGGGCCGCCCTCCCGACTGCTCATAGGTGATGTAGTATCCTGTGATGTGAGTGGACGGGGGTCTCCAGGTGAAGGACACAGTGGTGGGGGTCAGTGATGTCACCTGCAGATTCTCGGGTGCAGGGACCACAGGCTCAGCTGCAACAAAAATGTGACATCTCAAGGAAAGGTTGATATAAATAAAATTACAAAAACAGTCAAAACATTGCAATAACTTGTTATTTAGTAATTATAAAACAAGCAGATAAGTAATGGACAAGGCAACAACAATTATCAGCAACAGACATATGTATAGGTGTAGGTGTGTGTCTATTGGTTATTACTTAGACAATTGATCCCAAAAAAACAAGTGATATTGGAATTAAAACTGGCTTCGTTTTTGATTTCTAATAAATTTGATTAATTGCAGTCAGTAATTTTCAAAATCGTAAGAAAAAAAACCCCCAAATACAAGTCCTCAAGTGGCAGCATAGGGAATTACAGATGGAATTAATTTTATACCCTTCGTACTTGTTTCACAATGTATTGTCTATTTAAGATATAATTGCACATTTAAAACATGAAATGAGAATGTAAACAATGCCTGTCTGTCGTGGGAGTGTTTTTTTTGTAGTTCCTTGCAGATGCAGTAGGGGTCTGAGGACAGTGATGATCTGGGACATTTTGGACAGTTATGGACATCTGTGGACATGACCTATGGACCAATGGCTCCTATGCGTTTGTTATTATTGCACTCCCTGTGTTCGAACGATTTGATTCTCTGATCTGTTATTGACAACTTCATAAAATCTTGAAGTTGACTGACGACTGCTGTTGTGGTTTAGGACTATACTAACATAATTTGAACTGTATTGAATTGAATTGAATCAAACAGTGTCCTTATTATTAATGAATGGCCAAAAATCATGCATAATAATAAGTACATACTTACCAGTCGGAACAGTGAGGATGTACGGAGCACTCTTTGTGTTGCCGTTCAAAGAATAAATCTTAATAGTGTATAAGGTCCCAGGCTGAAGTCCTGATCAACAAACAAGAGATTTAGACATGTTCAAAGTTACAGTCTCCAGCTTGTCCTCCCGATGGTCTGTTTACCTTGGACATTGTAGCTCTGCACGTCTCCGGGGATGGTCCGGCTCAGAGTGGGCTGGCGGCCGCCCTGAGGGGTCACCTCGATCAGGAAACCGGTGATGGTCTCAACCTTGGTGCGCCAGGTCAAAGTGAAGGATGTGTCCTTGACGTCGACAATTCGGACTCTTCGTGGAGGGCTGATGTCTTTGAGACAGGAATGGTAAAGGAATAAGTCAACGGAGATCACTAAGTTGTGCAGTTTTGTGAGCTTATCTCTGTCCTTTGATGTGATACAAAAAATACTGATCAATAATTGAAGAAAGAATTTTATTTACCTTGTCATGCTACCTAACCTGGATTTGTATGAAGCAAATGAAATATAATAAAAAATAACACCAAAACTAGTGTTATAATTGTAAAAAAAAAAAAAAACCAGATAGAACTTTTACAACCGTTCTTTAAAGGTTCCTCAAATGTGCTGTAGTGACCTGCTTTAAAAAATCAATACTCTTGGAGTGACGTCACATTATTTACAAAGTAAAAAGAGGGACTGATCCTCCAAACACATTATACATTTGCTCTTTTCTGTCCTCTGTCAACAAGTCAAATACAAATTGGAAAAAGTAAATTATGTAAATAATAATTCATAACAACTATTCTGGAGCAATCTCCTCCTCCTCTCCAACCAATCACACCGCACCTCCTTGTCTACTCCTTATGACCCAGAAAACATATTTCTAAGATTTCACCACCTTCATCAAGCTTCATCAATAAACATAATCTTCCAATTCACCTTCTAGCGTGGTGGTTTCTCCCTGCAGAGGTCGACTGGTCACAGAGTTCTTCAGAGCGTAAACGTAAATCTGATAAGGTGTTGACACCTTAAATAAATAAAGAAAATATTATGAGGATATGTAGTTATAAAAATGGCAAAACTTTGCAGAAGTGCAGATACCATAAGTCCTGGGACAGTAACTCTTGTTGTATCTGGAGCCAGATTCATTTCTTTGGACGGACCGTTGATGTCTTTGGGGGTGATGACGATGCGATAACCAGTGAGGCGTGCGTTGGGTGGTCTCCATGACAACACGAAGGAAGAAGGGCCAATCTCAGAAATGTCGAGATTTGATGGAGCTGGAACGACTAAAGAAAGAGATATGAATAGTTTTAGATAAAAGACAACAGGTCAAACAGAGCAGCAGTGAGTAAAGGAGCGATCAAAACAGAACCACAAAGACAAATACAAGATATGGGAAATGTTGGTGAATCTCATCAGAATCTCCCTCACCTGTGGCCTGTTTCCCAACCAGAGGAGTGCTCTGAGTGCGTCCGTTCAGCGCGATGACTTTAAACGTGTATTCTGTCCCGGGACGGAGGCCTCTGATGACCACCGTGTCCTGGTCTCCTGTGGGGGCGGGGCGCAGCTCTCTCTCGCCCTCTTCTGGACTGGTGTAGAAGACACGGTACGAGGTGACAGTGCCTTCAGGGCTGTCCCACGTGATGCGCATCGAGGTGAAGTCGATGTCGGAGAACGTGAGGTCTTTGGGGCGATCCATCGCTGTGAGAAAAGCCAACATTTACACAGGGAAGAGTAGAGCTACAAAACACAGTCACATTTCAAGTTTTGAAAGTTTGCCACCTTTTCCACTTTTTGTTGTTTCATGAACAAATGTTGTCTGTGCCATCAGAAAGACTTTCACTTTGTTAATAAATCAGACTAGTCTTTATCTTATGGAGAAAAAAAGACTTTCTATCTACATAGTGAGAGCTGATTGGCTGTGAGGTGAGTGACTGATTAAAAACTACTGATTATTTGTTTATTTATTGACCCACTGAGAAAAGTCCCACTGAGATATCATAATATCTTTTTCCTAGCCCCAGACAGGGGGAAAGAGAGGGAGGGTGTTACGGGGTACTACTGTCAATGTTTTAGTGGAGAAAACCAAGAATCGTCAGGGGTTAGAATCACCCAAGAAGTTTCTGCGGTGAAGCACAAGCACTAACTGCTGCGCCACCGTTAAACCAAAAGATTAGATGTAGATTTACCTCTAACTAACAGATTATGGTCGTATTTAACCCCTTTTTAAGCCCGCAGCCAATGAACCCCAACAACAGATATGAAACTGGTGGAAAAATGAAAGGTTATATAGACCCTGTCCACACGAAGTCAAGCTCAGGCCTAAACGCAAAAATACTTTATAAATCCAGTGTATCGTCCATACGAGGCCGGCGTTTTGGGGGGGGTGTAAACGAACATTTTTGAAACTAGGTCCCAGAGTGGAAAGATTTCAAAACTCCGTATATGCCGCTCCGTGGTTACTGCCTCTCCGCGATGTATCTGAGACGCTTGCGTCATCGCCCCGCCTCTTGTTAAAGCACGCATGCGCCGCACTCAGAAAATAATGACAACAACAATGTAGCTTGTTGGTTTTGTAATCCAGTGTGACCCGAAGCAACAGTTCAACCTCATCGTCCGTCCATACTAATGTAGTACCAGCTCGCCCACTCGCCATGTTGTCTGTTTACAAAATTCTGCGCATGCCCACGGAAGTTTGGGCTTGATCCCGTCATTGCGTCACAGCGCCACCAACAGGTCTGGCATAGTTTCACAGCGTTTTCAGGCGTATTGACTACATTCATATGGACGCACACATTTACTGAGCTAACTCCGTGTTTACAGAAAAAGTTTCTGAAATTATAAGCGTTTTGTCTTCGTGTGGATATATCATAAGTTCCAGATGATCATGTGACTGTCTGAGTAGTTCTGCTTCTGCTGCATCTGGAACCGGGTTGAGGAGGCAGCAGTGATCATTTTTCTAACCAGGCACACTGAGTAGATGATCTTTTTAAATGTAATCATATGAAATCATGCAAACCTGTCTGGGCGTTTTCAACCGCAGGCGACGACGTCTGTCCGTCTGTGCCCAGGGCGTAAACGTGGACCACATACTCAGTGGTAGGAATCAAACCAGTGAATTTCATCTGAGTTCGCTCTGTAATCAACAAATAAAGAAGAGGATTATGATCATAAAAAGGTTGACAATGAGTTGACAATACCTAATAACAGCATGTGTTAGGGTTAGGGAAAATAGAAGAAATCTAAGTCACAATGCAAGGACATCATTTACGAAAATCTTGCATGAAATCTTTCTACAAACTATTGAAAGAAAGGATTTAAAACCTTCATGTACACATTCTTTAGTTTTGAATTTTGTATATTATTGTTGAATGTTAGCTTTAGTATATCACATAATTTTCAAGATTCAGTTTAGAGACAGCATTTGTACCTGGGCCGACCACTTCAGAATAGGAGGGTCCCAGGCCATTTTTGGGGGCACTGGTGATTCTGTATCCTCTGATGGGGCCCTGAGCAGGAGACCAGCGCACTGTCAGGGCGTTATCACTCACATCCGTGACCTGCATACCGTTAGGGGACTCAGTGTCTATAATACAAAACATAAACATTAATTAAAGAGCTTTGTCACTTCTAGATAACTGCCTGGATTATTTTAATGCTTCCGTAGTATTTCATTTCGTCTGTTCTGATAATCAATAGTCACTTTATCTGCTGCTATTGTCAGTATTTTTTATTCTGGTGCTGAAGTACAATACCAACCATCTGTAAATGTGAAACCTCATAAATGCTGCTGACTACAGTACATACTCTACAAGTGACTTATCCTTGACCCAAGTGAAATGAATGCCCCAGAGAGTGCCATATATATTTTTTAATTGTCTCTTATATTAAATAATAGATCCTGACATTGAAATTTCCCCACAGAGGGACGATCTTATCTCACCTGTGCGGTGTGTGATGGTGGCTGGGATGTTATTGGAGGGGCTGTCTCCGCGTCCCGTTACAGCGTACACAGTGATGGAATAGTCGGTCCCGGGTTTCAGACCAGTGATGGTGGCTGTGGTCTGCGTTCCGGGCACCGTGAACTCCTGAGGTGACTCTCCTAAAAATGCACGGATGTAAGGCAAGTGTGTTTGTTCAGCACAATTCGTGAGGTGTTGATCCTGGACATTTATGGACATTTAAGAATATTTATGGACAAACGGTTTGATTCTCTGATTTGTTGTTGAATGTTTTAAAGTCCTCCGAGATGACTGCTGTAGTGATTTAGGGCTATACGTAAAACAAATTTAATTGAAATGCCAAAATCTGAAATTCTGCCTCCACAGGTTTAGTCCTGACTCTGGGCACCAGCAGGAGGCCAGTCCCGATACTGTATATTTTCATAATGAACATTTAAATTGTTTTTAAATTTAAAAAAGTACATAAAAAACCTTAACAGTAGTATGTTTAAGAGCCTCTATAACCTTAAAATAACCTCTTTAAGTACAAGTAAGTATATTTAAACCCATCCCATCTGTACCTGTCATGCCGTAGTTGACCCTGTAGTACTTCACCGTGGCAGAGGGGGCGTCCCAGCGGATGACGATGCTGGTCGGGGTGCTCGTCACCACCACCAGGTCGGTCGGTGCATCTGAGACTGTAAGTTGTTCCAGAGTGAAACAGGATCAGACACAGACTCAGACAGAGACACAGACACAGACACAGACTCAGACACAGACACAGACTCAGACACAGACACAGACACAGACTCAGACACAGACAGAGACACAGACACAGTCACAGACTCAGACTCAGACACAGACTCAGACTCAGACAGAGACACAGACACAGACTCAGACAGAGACACAGACTCAGACACAGACTCAGACACAGACTCAGACACAGACTCAGACAGAGACACAGACAGAGACACAGACTCAGACTCAGACTCAGACAGAGACAAAGACTCAGACTCAGACTCAGACTCAGACAGAGACAAAGACTCAGACTCAGACTCAGACTCAGACACAGACACAGACACAGACACAGACACAGACACAGACACAGACTCAGACACAGACTCAGACACAGACACAAACACACTGTAAGAAAGACTCACTGGTGGCCTGCCTGCCGCTGAGGGGCTGGCTCTCCTGGTCTGGGCTCACAGCGTAAATGTGGACGATGTACTCTGTCTCTGGGCTCAGCTGAGTCAGAGTGTAGTGCGTTCTGGAGGGATGCACCTTCTCCTCCTTGGTGCGTCCTCCGCTCGTCGGCTGATAACGGACTCGGTACCCAGTGATAGCAGCGGTCGGTGCCACCCAGTGGACAGTGAAGGAATTTGTCTGGATGTCAGAGAAATCCAGGCCAGTAGGGGAATCCAAAGCTAAGGATAATATTTAGTTTAAAACCTTTATAATCAAAATACCCTTTCCCTGAGAAAGAGAAAATATGTTCAACACAATCCTAAGACACTTTAGAGCTTAAATAAAAGCCTACTCATTATAACCATCAAACACAACAAATAGAAATTCTATACTTGAATAGGTAATATCATCACAAGCAGGCTAGCTACAGGGTATAGCGTGACGTTTGTTAATATGTTAAAATAATATGCTGATATTTTTGTCAAAGTAACATCTTGGTCTTACGACATGACCCCTTTCCATCTACAAACAACTACTACAACAGCTGAATTCTACACAACACAAGTATGAATAACAAAGACTTACTTGTCCTCTGAGTTCCTGTAACCGGCTCACTTTCTCTTTCAAGGTAGACAACGACAACGCTGATAGAGTACTCAGTGTTTGGAAGCAGATCTGAAAAGTCAAATGCAGTTCAATAATAGTAACTGAACATTCTACCTAATAAGTTTTCGTTTTTGAATTATCTCATGGTCTTACTCTGTAGAAGGTAAGTGTTGGTAGCTCCGCCCACATTCACTTCTTTAAGGTCATCGTAGGTGTTGATAGGCTGGTAGCGGATGACAAAACGAGAGATGTCGCTCGGAGTGGACACATGCGGCATTGTCCAGGTCACTCTGATGTGGTCCGGACCCACTCCAGTGAACTGCAGGTTGGTCGGAGCAGGGATGGCTGCAAGAATGATGGCGTTTAAAGTTAATGATGTAGAAATGAGTGAGTGAGTTTAGTAACTTTAGTCGTTTAGAACCCTGCTGATATAGTACCACATAGCTATACTAGGCAGGTACAACTATTGCCATGTGGGTTTGATTAACTGATCTGCAGTTCTTACAAAAGCCTCTTTACTCCTTATTGAATGCCCTTCTCCTCCCTTCTGATTAAGTGAGTGTTAAATCACCCGCTTGTGTTTGCTTTGTGTAAGTGGTCGGCTCGCTCTCCCCGTCTTCTGTTACAGTGGTGATAATGATGTCATAGTCCACCCCCGGCTCCAAACCACGGATGGGGTAATAACCGGCCGACACCTCCACCATATCTTGGAAAAAGGGCAAACTTTCCCCCGCCGCCTTTAGAGAAATCCGAAATGCGGTGATGGAGGTGTAATTCAGTGGGATCCAGCGCAGGCCAATGGTGGTGTCAGTAATGTCCACAAACTCTATGTCACGTGGTTCTGGGATTTCTGAAAGGGTTAGGTCGTTTGCAAAAGCCCAAGCAAGATTAATAGGCAGCAAACCAAAACATTACAAGCAAGAATGATTCCAAATGATTATGAAAACATTTACATTCCATCAAGTATTAGAACTAAATATTAACAGAGCACATGCTGTAATCATTACTCACTCCTACATGTGTAACCACCGTGATTTCACCGTGATTTACAGACATGCTTTTATTAACTCAATCTCAATGTCCGTGCAGATAGTAGATGAGCAAAACATTCTGTTAGTTATGGAGGTCAAATTCATGTGTTTGTGTTTTCTTTATCAGATTTGGAAAGGAAATAGTTACTAGTAGTAGTTAGTAGGGAAGTCATGATTACGGTTACAGTTATTATGAGAAAAAACAAATATCTGACTGTCAAGGAGTGGATTGCTGTTATTTAGTCCTTGGTTTTTATTTTTATGTATGTTTACCTGTCTTGTTGATTGTCTGAATTTCCTCTTGGACATTAATTCTATTACTATACCATTTTGTCATTTTTTTTTTTATTCCTCCATGTGACATTAACATTCTTTTCCCAAGTTAACAAGTGCTTGAATATGGAATAATTATGTTAAGCATGAGAACTACTTTAACACTTGGATATGGAACAATCTTAAAATAATAAAAAAATACGTAAATATCCCTTTAAATAAGGATCAAATGCTGCTGCACATGTAATAATAATTAACCTCCTGGTTGTATGGCAGAATACGATTAAAAATAAAATCAATGAATACAATTGAACTACTGTATTTTGTAACACAATTATCGATTAAACTAATAATCAGTAGTCGTTTAAACTAATCAGATATTTACGATGAACTTTCAGCACTTGGCAAAACCAGAATACATGTGTGGACGTTTTGTGTTTGTTGTGAGAAGAAGAAAGTCCAAACATAAGATCTCCAACTAATTTGTAGTTTCTGGAAAAGCTATTTTGCGTATGAACTGTTCAGAATCTAGTCTAGTGTCCAAAGCTTAACATGAGAGTCAATGTTTTAAGGCCATTTATTCAGCTCTTTAGTGTATTTGTTTGTTTCTTGTACCTGGCGTGACCACAGTGGACACAGGGACACTCTCCAGCTGCCCTTTGACTGTGAACACACTGACGTTGTACTCCACGCCCAGACTTAGGTTTTCCAGGACACATGAGGTTTGATCAGAGCTGACCAGCTCTTCCAGAGAGTTTCCTCGCTGACCACTAGTAGGCGAGCTTGTCACTTTGTAGCCTGTGATGCCTGTTAACACATTGAAGGTGGCATGAGACTGAAAAAGCTTTTAACATACATAGAATTGCTCTTCTTTATCAAAATCATAACAGTTTGTATTTACTTAAAGCATGTTTCAGTCAAGTCCTTTTCAAACCATGCGCATGTATATCTGTGTCTGTTTTGTTGATTTATGTTTAATGTGTTGGGAAGGTTTAAAATAGATTTAAAACTGCTCTTTTCATAACAAAAAGAGTCGACCAAATAAAGAAGTGCATTATTACAGTCACCTCAGTTTTCACCACTGCTGGAACTTCTTAGCTTGTTGATGTTTTTGTTCCAGATCTGTGATTGCCTGAACGATTTGGCAGCATTCCCAAAACATGTTGTTCACTTCCCATTATTGTGATCTGTAGTGATGTTGGTGCTTTGTGATTTTAGTGATGTAGTACAGTCAGCACAATGATTTCCAATACATGTCCAAAAGTAAAAAATATGTCATAAAAATCCGTGTTCTGTGTAGTCTAATTAGCTGACTAAAGAAAGAGTGCTGGATGAACTTGGCTAACGCATTTGCCCCAGATAGAAATGGAACAGGGGCAACTCTCTGCCTGGTCCAGAGTGCGTAGGAAGCTCAAATATTTACCAGGAGTTCTGGAGGCGACCCAGTAGACAGTGAGATCTCCTCTGTTCGGACTGGGCTCCACTCTGAGGTCCGTGGGCGGAGAAAGAGCTGCGCAGACGATGACACAACCATGAGAGAAAATTTTGCCAGACAAAGACTTCAGCAGAAACTAGTATAACTCCAAAAAATCTTTAGGTAATACAATCTAGGTGATTTATTTAAAAATTATAAACTCACATGTGACAACGTTGCGAGTGATGGCGTTTCCTCTGTTGCGTCCGTTGAAAATAGGCTGAACGCTGTACGTGTATTCAGTGCCAGGGATTAGACCAGAAACATAAACTCGTCCGGACTCCGACGTGTCCGACTTCGGAGACTCTCCCTCTTCACTTGGCAATACAGTCAGCTACAAGAAAACACAAGTGGAGAGGTGTATAATTTTGCATAGAATTTGGAAATTACAACTTCTTTAGGTCAACTTAGTCAACGATGCATTCACAATCAGGTTTCTTGTACCTTGTAGCTAAACCTGCGGAGTGGGATCCAGGAGACAATGATGGAGGTGTCAGTGACGTCAGTGTTGAATTGAGGAGCATTTCCCATCGGCAGAGCTGCAGAACACAAAACAATCAAATTCTAAACATACTGTATTTGAATTCCATAAGCTATTCATGTCCTGCAGAGTGTAATCACCTGTAGTGAAGTAGGCTGTGGCCCCTTCGCTCAGGTCCTCGTCGAGCTCGGAGTGCAGAGTGACGGTGTACTGTGTGTCTGGGCTCAGGTTGAGGAGCTGGTACTGGGACACGGCTCCTGGGATCTTCTTCTCAATGGGACTGCTGCCCTCCATGCTCAGGAACAGTCTGTATCCGGAGACCGAGGCTCTAGGGGACTCCCAAACAACCATCACGGAGTCCGAACCAACGTCTGTGAACTGGAGGTTTGTGGGAGCATCGGGTTCTAAAGGGTGAGGAGCATGAGGTCAGAAAATTGTTTCTCTCAATTCATTTATTAGTTGTTTAAAATAATATAATTCAAATTTTGCAATATGCATGGCAGCTCTGATTGCCACCCTCCCGACCCAGAAATGGATTAATAAAGGTGAAGACAATGACAAGACATAATTCAAATAAGGGATTTTTAAAAATAAATTTGATCAATGCGATGCTATTCTGGAACATTTTCAAAGAGACTAAATTCCACATATTTGCTTGTTTGATTACAAATACATTTCAAAACCAATCCCATGTTCTTCCATAGTAATTATAGCTTTGTCAGAGTCAGAACTCTTAATTTTATGATTAAAAAAACAGTTAATCGATCCTCACAAGTAACGGATTTAAAGCTAATCACTGAAGTTAACAAAGGTTGACCTTTGGTGTCCGAGAGCAACATTGTATCACATTTATTTATAAAGCACTTGGAAAACTGCCTGTTCTGACATGTTTATTCAACTGGAACTCTGGCTCAAGAACACAAGAGCACAGAACCATTTGTACAAAAACTGAACTCAGTTTGCTCTCAAAAATGTTATTATTACTAAACTATACTACAAAATTAGACACTCTTTCAAATTTTAAGCTAAAGAATGGGCCTCAATATTTATCATCTAATTTTCTGGAGGGAATGTTGCTATTATTTTATAAAACTAACAAAAAAGTTTAAGATGATAAAATTAGTACTTAATTCTGTTGAGTATTTTCATAGTGAATGTTTTTTAATTAAATCTATCAATTGTACTTTCATCAGTGCCAAGTAGTAATATTTATCGCAATAATTTACAGAACAAGGCAGACTTACTGGTTGCCTTCTCTCCCATCAACGGCTCGCTCTCCACGCCTCCGTTGATGGCGTAGATGTAAAAGCGGTAGAGGGTCCCTGGCTGCAGATGTGTGAGCTCAGCGTAAGCGTTTGGAGATGCGGGGAGAGGCAGGAGCCTGGTCTCGGAGCCGTCCGGTCCCACGGGGGAGAAGCTGACTCTGTATCCTGTCACCTCGCTGGGGGGACCGGTCCAGGTGATGGTGATCTTCACATCCGACACTTCGTAAAACTGCAGCTCTGTGGGCGCCAGGACCTCCTCTGTGCAGGACACACAGTCAAAACTCTCTATTAATGGTCTCGATTTGGCCCGCGGGATCCTGAAGGGATTTTAAATTATTCTGCACGTTAATAATAATTATTATTAAATTATAACGGAATACATTCTTAATTTGGCCCTCAAATAACTACACTGTATTTGTTACATAGGGGATGGGTCGGCAATCCATAGGATTTAGCTGTAGATCATCATACTATGTTGAATAATTCAAGTTTGATTCATAAAAGCAGCTCACCTGCAGTTCAGTGGAAAAGGCCTTAATAGGAGTAGCTCTCCAAGGGGGAAATGTGTAGAAATGTTGGTTTTAATAATCAATAGGCCTCTTCAAAAACAACAATGTGTTTTCAATGAGCTGGAGATAATATTCACTCAGTCTTAGTTTTTCCATTTAAATAAAGCCATATGTTTATCTCAGCAGAGCAAAAAATGCAGTAGATTCACAACTGTAACTGAGCTGGTTATTGAAGGATATGATCTGTTTTCTTTAATTAGTGTCTGCATAAACCTTCACGTGTCCATGTTTACCATCAGCCTGAACAGGGGCCACTGTAAATGTAGGAGGAGGCTGAGAAAGACTATAGAAGACACAGCTGTTGTTTTCACAGACTCTTTCTCACAGACACTGGGACATGGTGTTTATGCCTCTGGCTGTAGCTGCTGTACAATAACACATGTTCTTCTGTTAATACATGGACAAGATGTAATTCTCTTCAACAGGTTACAACAACTTCCACGCAAGTAATTATTTGCATACAAGATTCAGATTGCCTTCTAGTTCGTACCTCTCCCATAATATTCACTCCTGCTCACCACTGGTACATAAAATTAAAGGAGCAGATAAAATGTCACTGAGTTGCATTGGTTCATGTATTACAGACAGATAGATATTGTTGAATGTTAATTAGCTCCAATAATTTCTTACAGGCTTCAAAAGTTTCAAAATTTTCTATAACAAAAAAACAGTTTCCACAATCTGAGGCCTGACGGTTTTAAACAGGAATTCAACGGGAAAAATAAAAATGGTAAAGCTTTTAAGATTCAAAGTGGACAACAAACAAAATGTTTGTAATAATGATAAATTGTCAAAACTAAGACACTGTATAGACCGGGGGTGTTCAAACTTCAGTTCACCAGACTCGTTCAGGGGCCAACAACAGAGATTGTAAAACTGTTTTAACTGGATTCAAGCTGTTCTGAACTTTAAAATGGGGTATGACATCATGTCCATATGGAAACTGAAGTTGGCTGAGAGACAAATCTCTAAAGTGAGAGAATGTCTGAGTTGGCAGAGCTGAAGCTGGCTCGATGACACTGTGAACTTCTGTTTACTTTGGGTTAGTAAGAAAGAGGGTCACATAAAATAGCACAGAGGGCCACAGTTAGCCCCAGGGCCTTAGTTTGAACAAGCCTGATATAGACATAGATGAACCATGTAATAAATGCTCTGCTATAATCGAGATCCAACTCAAAATTTGTTTAGATTTCCAGTTCCATCTTGGGCCCTTTTTTCATTTGAAGTGGTTATAAATACTTTTTGATTCACACTTTTCTGTTTTTTATGACAATCCTTCCTGTTCAATCCAAAAGTGACGTGTGTCGTACCTGGCTGAGGGGTGCCGGCGGTGTTGACTTGCACAAACACAGGCTCGCTCTCCAGATCGTCCTCTACGGCGAAGATGCTGATGTTGTAGAGTCGTCCGGGCAACAGGTCGACCAGCGTCACAGAAGTCTCCGTGTCGGGCAGCGTGAGCTCTGTGCTGCTCCCTTCCAATGACGGAGTGTACACCACGCGGTAACCTGGCAACAGAGGGTAATGAAGTAGATAATAGTGTGGTGATGGTAGATTTTTACAAACTCGTTCACTGTTTGGGAGTATATACAGTATCGTCTTTTTACAGTCAAAGGAAATTTTTAGACAGAAAAGTTTGAGAAAATGTAATACTAAAACAGATTTGTCATCAAATTCACAGAGCATTAAACAAGATCAATTTCTATTACGACAACCTGGCTTCCCACAAACATTTCCTTACATTTTTCTTACATATTTAATTCTGATTTTAGTATTCCTTTATTTCTTATGAAGTTTCAGGGCTTTGTCTGTGCCACCTCACATTTCTGAAAAATCTCTGGCTACTAAATAGTTAATACAAAGGTTTAAACATTTATTCAACAAGATAAATGTGCGGTTTTATGTTTCTACTTAACAGTAAAAAAAATAAGTATATTATTATACAAAATTGGCTCTGGTTTCTGTTTTCTATGATAACTACTTCCTACCTATGTCACATCTGCAACCCCTGGCCAAACTACAGTAAGATTAACTTTGTCATCCCTGAGAAACAAGGGGAAACTTTTAATCTTGAAATAATCTGTTTATAGAACCAAGTATTAGAGAAATGTCTGTTTGTAAGGAGAGAAACTTGTATTACCAGTGATAGGAGCCTGTGGGCGAGACCAGCTGAGGCGGATGGAAGTCTCAGCCACATCGTCGACAGCATGTTGCGCTGGAGTATCTGGAGCTGAGGGAACAAAAGACAACAAGCGATAATAAACGGAGAGAATTAAAAACAAACAAACATACATACATTCAAAGACATTCCCTCTTCCTCTGATTGTTGTATGCAATGTGTCTGTGCATGGGGGGGGGGGGGGGGGGGGGGGGGGGGGTATGTTTTGTGTAAAAAAGGGAAATAAATATAAAAAGATAACCATTATCCGAAATTAAACAGTATGATTAAATAACCAGGTCAATCAACAGTTCTCAAATCTTGGTTACAAAATTGTGGACAAAAGCGTGGCAATACATCATGGGCCAAAATGTATGCCTGACAGCAAGGTGGATGAACATAAGATTACTTACTTACTTACTTACTTACTTACTTACATCACATCAACTGAAACTACCAAAAGACTCCCAAAAAGACAGTCTCCCTGAATGTTCTTGTAAAAACAGTCTGTATGACATGTACTAGATGCCTCAACGAAATTAGAGGATTGGTCACTAAATCTGAATATAATAAAGACTAAGTCAAACCTGTGGTCTGTGAAGTGGTCAGGATGAGGTTGGGGTCTCCCTGCTCTGGAAGCTCATACACGTTGACGTTGTAGCGGCGCCCGGGCAGAAGGTCGCTGATGGTGACAGAATTGGTGTTGCGAGGAAGATCTGAAGAAATACACCAATAACACAGCATGTACGATTAGTTGATGTTTTATTTAACTTTCACAGTGAGTTAAAAGCATACACGTCGCAGCATATAACACAGCACAATTCCACTTCTCTGATAATACAAAGCTCTATATTCAAATTCAGGCTAGAAAATAACCTTTTGGCTCTTAGAACATACCAGTCCAGTATGTAAGAAGTATATATTCCAGGGAGCATAAAGGCCAGTAATTACACCTAGGACTTTAAAGGTTTTGAAAATTAATCACAAAAACAGTAAAAAATATAGTATTGTTTCTCTGTGCCGAATCCAGAAGCTTAGGACAGCGAGATACACAGATGCTCTGAGCATTGTAGATAGATATTATGCACTAGGGGAAACATTTGGAAACACATGGAAAATACCACTAAGATTTTTTTGTGTGTGGAAAAATCAACTTGATTGTTTTTACCCAGAGTGTTGCGTTTGGCCCCGTTCTCGCTCAGCTCGTACTCTACTCTGAAGCCGGAGACAGTGGCTGCGGCAGAGGACCATGAAACCACAAAACTGTTGGAGGTGATTTCTGTCACAGACTCAGAAGTATCGACCACTGGAGGGGGAGCCGTGGTCTCTCCCTCTGAAGTCTCCACTGCAGAAGAGAAGAACAACAGCACGTTACAAGAATGAATTTCAACTTCTCTTCCAGAGTTACCTTCTCAGCCACGCTCTTTTGTTGCACTGGGAAATCATGTTGTTTGAATGACCCATTACTGTCAGTAGCACGAGTGAGATCATAGGACTATTCAATATATCCAGAAACTGTTTGCTCCAGTTTCCCAATCACTAAAACACAGTCCCATTCAACTAAATTCTAAATTAAAAAGTGAATAAAATGCACATAAAAATGCACTAATCAGCCATTAAAACCCTGGTACCGTAGCTGTGTTTGTGACTGGACACTCACAGGAGCCGTATGTGGTGGTGAAGTCAAAGCGTGTGACTTCGCGGCGGCCAAACTGCAGGAGGCTGACGAGCTGACCCTCGTACGTGACACCGGGACGCAGACCACTGATGGTGTAAGAGTTCAGGTGTCCTGGGATGATGGCCTCTTTCCAAGGAGCACGGGTGTTTTTCTAGAAGAATATCAACATTACACCTATCAGGAAACTTACTTATACACTACTGATTTTGCAGCAATAAAAAGACTTTCCATAATTGCATAGTTAGGATTAAAACAGCCTTTCAGTTTACATCAGGCATGTCCAAACTAAGGCCGGCAAGCTAATTATTGCCCTCTGTATTATTTTGCCTTGAAGATCTAAAGTAGTCTTTGAGGTCATACGTTCAGTTCAGCCAACTTAAGCTCGGCCAATACAGGCACGCTGTATCTTGATGTAAAGCTCTAGAATTCAGGCATTGACTTTATTTGTATTTACTGACATTTGTTTGTGATAGCGTCACAAAAATCTGTCTATGGCGCTAATGTAGCTGGTGAGGTTACACTTAATAGAAAGCGTAGAGCAGCCTGAATCCAGTCAAAACCGATTTTAAAGTCTTGTAGTATATGAGGAGTGCATTTTGTCCTGGGTTCTTCATCATGGTAGCATTAGTAAGTTAGTCAATACACTTTATTTAAGTAGTTTGTTTTACAGACGGGGGCTGCACAGTGCTTCACAGCGTTCATGGGATTTTTCTCCATTCACACACAGATTATTGTGGAGTATTACAAACAAAGCAATAATTGAGCTAAGGGCGAGGCTTTGAAGTACATAGGAAGTACATTGAAGAACATTTTGGACTGGTATAAAGCCTACAACTACAAATATGTATTATACTGTTGGTTATATTGCAAACTCTTGGGACTGAATAACACAAAACAATCCAGCTGAATGTAAGCAAAGTTCAAAGGATGTGTGGGAGTGCGGATATATTTGCAGTGGTAATAGGTCATTTGGAGGATGTCAATATTGAAATTTGAAAACTGTAACTTTTCAAAAAGGCCAAGCCCAAAAAACTTTATGTACATAACAGTGAGAGTATATTTTTTGGACTTGGAATTCCTTTGAGCCACATCCTGTTTCTTCCAAGTTCTTAGACTTGACGCGGTGTAGAAAAACTAGGCACTAAAATCAAAGCATGAAAAGGCGACGGGGGAACAGGAACTTGGCTTTCCAAAAAACACACGTAAAAGCCCCTTAAAAGGAAATCTGTTTGACTTCAATTATGCTTGAAAACATTCCAACGCCTTCACCATTTTTGAGGTTTTCATAAAGAGAAAGTCAAGAGGGGAAGAGCTGGCCGTGTTGTGTATGCAGACTATTAGGATCGTTCCATGACAGGGCTATAATTTTCAATGTATCATGCTCTAGTGAAGCGCTAACCTCATCCAAACTGTAAAAATGATTTGCACAGATGTTGCAAGACGAAGCTCATCTGTAAAAACTAAAACATGACTATAAATTGAAGGATGTACTTGTACGCTTTAACTGCACGCTTGTATGTGTGTATCTATGGACCATATGGTTGCATTCTGTACCTTCTGGAGATGAATTAAGTCGGGTTGAACAGGTTGAGAAGTTGATACGACAATTGTTTTTGAGAAGATGTTCAATTCTTATGATTAATTTTCTGTGTTATTACATTTCAAGACAAGATAAATGGCGTAATGGCCAACACACTGCATTGAGCATTGATTAAGTATCAAAGATGTCTGTGATCAATGACAATATATATATTTTTAATTATAATGTTCAAACCCCCGCTAATCTTCTCTGTGTGTGCGTGTGTGTGTGAGCTTGACGGTATGGATGTGATAGCAAACAGCAAACGTCAACAACTACTGTATGCTGGAAATAGCCCATTAACTCTTTTAGGTTGGAATCATCATAATGTCTTTATGTTATTAGAAAACTTATTTTATCTTTTGCATACTTGTAAGATAGAGCCCTGTGAGTCTCAATTTGGCTGAGAGTTGAGGATGGTGCTTTCTTTTTCACTTTTATGTCAGAAATATCTGATCAAAAGATGTGAAAATGAGATTGAGATTTGAAAATTAGGTACCCCATCTTTAAATATCTAAAAATAATGCTATTAGATTAAATTGATTATAACTCACAATTCTCCATTTCAGAATGTACTGGGTGATGTGGACAGATGCCGGTGCGTTCCACTGGATTGGGTGAGAGTCCGGCTGCTTTCCTCCTTCTGTGATGATGACCTGCACTGGTCTGTAACCGTCTGAAAACACCAGGGTTTAAATGTTATCAAGAATATGCGAGAAAGCATTGAAAAAACCCATGTCAGTGAAAATGCTTGGCTGAGTTGTAGAGAGTTCTGTTTGGGACAAAACCAAATCCACAGATGGTGCTGAACCTGAGCCAAGACCCACAGTTATCTCAAAGTCCCAGTTAACATCGCCGCTCTATATTCATCACAGTTTGTCTTTCCTGTGAGCTCATGATTATAAGCACACACTGGTGCGGTACGTGCACTTTTACATTTGGCAACTGGAAAATTGCAGATGGTTTTGAAACGTGTGACCCATATGAGAAATTACTGCTGGTTATACACGCAGTAAATTAGGAATACAGTCATGCACAAAGACTTACCTCATGCTTGTTTATATGTGTTGTTTCCAATCCAAAAGATAAAACATATACAACGTACGTGTATTGATAACTCACATTATCATTATTGCAGTAATATATTTAGACTTCCCTTCAAACAACAGATAATTTATTAAGCCACATGTGCCAAGAAAAACAAAAATGTGTGTTTTTGCGGTGAGGTAATGATGAAACAATAGAATAATATTTACTTGTCACCACCGTATTCACCAGGGCCGTGCAATAACATAAAAATGCAAGTTTGGTATTTTGATGACAGTGTAAACACTGCTGCCAGTGATACAATTTTACTGTTTAAAAAAAGGATCCTTTTCAGAAAAAACGTGTTCATTGTAGGAGGACAACAGACTCCACCCAGTTGAGTTGAATGCCCCTGGTCTAGGTTAGTTATATTTTATCATAATATTGTACAGGTTCAACTTTAACAAAGAAATACTGGTTTTAAAACACATTTGGATTATTGTATAAAAAGTACTGTGCGCCATGTTTTGTGTATCAGCAGGGCCGCCCGGCCCTACCCAATAAGTGGACTGAACAGTCACTTAGCGCCCCAAAGCCACCAGAGAGCCCCCAACAGAGGTTAAAACTGAACTTAACTTAGCTCCAAGACCATCGGTTGTTATTAGCTTCTACAATCTGTTGTTTTAACCCTGATGTCAACAATTAAACCCAAATGGCAGTGATGTGGCTCCTGCAATATGTTTTGGCTCTGGTCCCACAAGAATGATTGGGCCAGCTCTGGGGTATCGTAATTGAGGTGATTCTCTCATATTCGACAACATAGTCTTAAGAATGTAAAAATTATACCTGTATTAAACATATAATAATACTAATACATGAATAAGATTTCTCACCTGGCGAGGTCTGCATGGGTTCACACCTCAGCTCTCCGTTTCCGTTGCCGTAGCAATAGCAGCGATAGTGAATGCCGTGGATGGTTTTGTCCCAGGACTCTCCGATCTGATAGAAGGCTTTGGTCTGAGGCTCCTGGCACTGGTCTGTTGAAAAATAAAATTAAAATAAAACATGTGCCAGGGACTGCAATATTGATTAATAAAAAGACAAATTTATAGTTGACAATAAATATAAGAAAATAATCTCCTGGTTTCAAGTGAGACCTTTTAACGAACAAATACATAATGCATCATTTGTGGTAATTTTGTTGCTTACACACAAGCTTGGACAATTTTACTTTTTCTATTTTCTTTTCCATTTTATGGTAGAAAGTATAAATAATAAATATGAGATGACAAGAATGCACCAATACAAGAAGGGAGCTATATTTACATTCAAACCTAAGATGGCGTGGTCTGATTGAAAACATGCAGTTGTAAAGAACCTAACTTGACAGGAGAAATTGTCAGAACGGATTTCAAAGCAGAAAACAACTGTCTCCACTGCGGGACAAACATATTCATCTTAACTCTGTCCTTGACATCATATTGTAATGATTTTTCAAAGCGAAAAGTATGAGAAAGAAGTATTATTGACAGAAAGAGCGAAAAACTAGTCTATGCCTGTTTTTGAGGAGAAAAATCTTGAAAAGACAAATGTTGCCGCCTAAATGCCATCTATAATGTTCTGAAATTCTGAACAAAATGCCTATATTCTACACATAAATCTAACTTTTTTCAAATGATTGTATGGAATATCACAATTAGACCATTATAAATCGTGCCTCCCTAACATTTTCAAACCCAAAGCCTGTTTACTGCTTCCGTACCGATGGCGTCACACTTCCAGCGGCCGCGTCCCTGTCCGAAGCAGGTGCAGTTCATCATGTATCCTGCATCGTGGCGTTTGGAGAACTCCTGGGAGGTCTCGTAAGTGTAGCCGCCCACAATGCACTGGTCTGTTAACAAGGCCAAAGGGAAAAGAGAAATGTTGTTAGAAAATAGTCCATGAACTCCCAGGTTGTATTGAAGAAGTACTACGGACAGCTTTGACAGTTTTACAGGAGGTAAGTGTGAGTTGTTCTAAAATAGTAAAAGCACCATTGTTATTTCAGGTGTGCTGTGGGAATAACAAACTGGGAATACGAGGGAGAACGATGACATACGCTCTCTGTGGGGTCGTAATTTGTAGCTTACACCTCTGAATCTCATTTTATTTACATTTCAGTATATTTCAGTCTTCATACTCCTGGACATGGTTGAGAATATAACTAAAATAGTAAGATGTTGAACTCACCTTTGGCAAAAGACTGCTCATTACCATCTAACCATCCTACCTTCTAGCCATTAATATTTTTTTGGGAATGAATAATAAAACACAAACTATTGTACTTGTGGTTTTACGGTAGTTCTGACACAGATCAATTTGACCAAGGCTGGGTTCATACTTCTTGTTCTGGTTCACTTCAACTTCTTCAATTAGGGAAAAATGCTTCACTAATCTATTTCAGAAGATGTACTTTACATAAGAGATGAGTAGACAGGTGTTGTTTGGTGGTATTTTGTCCCAAGTGAACCAGAATTGGTCCATGTTCCCTAAAACTATTCAGGGAACTATTCAACTGTCATATTTCTAAATCTAAATCTTTGAAACATGTATTGTTGACACCAGTTCAAGCATAGCATTATCATAATAAAATAGTATTGCAAACAGTTCATTTTCCCAAATATTTTCAGCTTGATATTTTGAGAAGCAAAGCCCAAGGAGAGGTTGGTTGCAGTATATAAAGTCATATTTTTTGGACTGGAGTTAGAAAATCAAAATGTAATTCAAATCTATATAATACCTGTACTCATATCAAATACGTGTGACATTTTTCACACTTTGCAAGAATAATGTGCGTATAATAATAAATGTATTCTCGTCAGAACCTCGCAGCTGGGAGTAGGCGATGCAGCTCCATTCTCCGCGTCCGTTCCCCATACACGTGCACTCCATCATGTGACCCAAGACGTCGTGGCGTTTGTCCCATTTGTCTCCGACGCGACGCATCACTCCATCGTTTGTGGTGCACACCTCCTCATGAGCTACAGAGAAAAAACATAAAACATGCAAACAATTCCAATTTAGCATGTTCTACATCAATTTGTAAAAGCATGACATCAAATGAGTCCGTTCCTGGCTACACTTTTGCTCCGTCTGTTTGTCTATTCTCTAAAATTGATGGTCATTTTCTCAGAGTTATGTTATAATGTCTTCTTTGAACATCTATGGGAACCAGAGTTGTAGATACAATCTCAAGAACATAAAAGCCATATATCTATAAAAACAAAGGAAACACATGACTCCTCAATCCTTTCATCAAGTCCCAAATTCCCAAAAGTACTTGCCTACTACATTCATTACTCATTATTTACTATGTTAAAACAATATCTTGCATTTTGGTAGATGTGATACTTCTTAGCTTAGTAATATGAGACAGGGGTTACATGTTCTACAAAAGAACCTGTATGTGATATTTACCATGTCGACACCATAGACCACCAACATTCTTTTGACCCAACCACCGTTAGACATCAGAACACTCATGGACCTTACTGTGTGTTTGGGCTTGTATTCTTGTATTGTGTTAGTCCGTTTGTATGCTCTCCACTTCCTATCGCTTATGTTATTGTTTGGCATTTAGTGTGTTTTTTGTTTTTTGTGTTTTTATGCCATATGCTTCTCAAAAGAATGACCTCTGGTGGGATGAATAAAGTAGTCTGAATCTGAATTTAACTCTAGACTATGAATGAACAATGCTAACACGCTAGCTCTTTGAAGCCTAATAGAGAAGTGCCCGAGGTCAAAGTTAAACTTGGACTGCTACAAATGATCCATTATGCACATTATCCATCTTCTCTTCTCTTCTGTTTTGACCATTTTAACACTATGATAAATAAGGCCCTTAAATGTATATAGGAGGATTTTCTACTTCCGGGTGGATCATCAAGACTATTGGTCCTCCTAAATGTCAGTCATTCTGGTGATATGTGTTTTTTTTTTTTTTTTCAGTGGAGAGAGCGGTTCTTTACTAAAATTTGGGAAAATCCTGATATACCTTCAAGTCTAAATGAGATATAACTGTACAAACTCACCTGCCATGGGACAGAACCCAAATCTCTGCTCTGCGTCGTAGTTGTAGCTCGTGCCGCACCACCTCATCCCGTCCCGCCGGCCGTCAGCCGTGCAGTCGGTATAGTTACGTCCACTGTACAGGAACGGGAAGTGACACAGGGCGCCGTTGGAGTTACCGCCCCGAGTCACCACGATGGCTACAAGATTAAGACAGCTCAGGTTAGTCATGATTGGAATACATCAAACATCTAATGACAATTAAAGGACAGAATAATAGTGTAAGCTCTAAACCTGGGATATTCAACTGAGTTTTTGCAAAGGGATAGATCATTTGGCGAGCAATGGTTTGTTCGAGTTGTTTGGATCTGGGTATTTTTCAAATTTCTTGCTGACGGTGACACTCACCATACTTCTCAGTGCAGAATGAGTATTGCTTGTCAGTTTCGTAGTCAGAGGTTGTGGAGCACCAGAGCTGACCGTCAGTGCGTCCGTCAGAAGTGCAGGTATAATAGTTCTTTCCCATGAAGCCAAATGGAAACACACAGGGCTGCCCATCAGAGTTCCCACCATACACCTGGCTCGTGGCTTCTGCACAAACCAGAGAAAGTCAATTGACAAAAGAAAATGTACAACAAATTTAAAGTCATGAAATATTAGGGTTGCAGGGTTTTGTTTTATCACTATTTAGATATGTACATACCTAATAGTATTAAGTAATTATGAGAAACAAACTTTCATAAAATACACAAAGGACTGAATCTACACACAGATAAGATGGAAGAGATGGATAAACGAAGGATTTGGACAATAGGTTATTTATGTGGCAATCTTTGACTTGTCTCATTCCAGTGACTTGTGCATTTGTGTAGTCATAATACTAAATATAAAACTTGATCTTGATACTTAATACTCAATAACGATTTCTCAAAATCATAATACTCACACTCACTTTATTATAGTTATTTTGTTTTAATCTAAATGTTGCCCAACGAAATGTTATATTATATATAAATTATATATTTTGTCCTGTTTATGTATTCTTATTTAGTATCTATACTACTTCTTGTTCAAATGTCTAGATTTAGTATTGAATAATATCTATTTTTTCAATACTTCAGATCAGCTTAGTTTTATGCCCTATAACTCTAGCAATGAATAAATAAACACAGCGTACATACAACATATACACAGTTATTTAAATTCATACAAAAATCATTTTGGCCCTTAAACCTGATCTTAAGAATCTTTATATTTCATTAAACGTGATTTTGACTAAATGTGTGTTTTAATTGTGTACTATCCATCTTTAGTAATGGTTTAGTCACAGTTAAGAAGTTCATAAAGTAGTAATTATCTGTAACACGTACCCCACTCCTGGCAGGTGACACCATTGCCCAGGCAGGTGCACAGCATCTGTTTGTTGCCCTGGCTCCGGATCCATCTCTGTCCATCAGAGAAAGTGGCTCCAGAGTCGGTGCGACAGGAGCCTTCCACAGGAGGAAGCAGCTGAGGCACAGGGTGGGGCAGCACAGGGGTCAACACTGGGGTCAGGACCACAGTGCCTGAGGCTGAGCCAGAGCCTGACCACAAAACAACAAGGATTCAATTCAATCATTCATTTTTTAACTGGATAGAAATTTGCACTTATTATTTATTTTACATAACATATATAAGTAGAAGAGAATGGATAAATAACAGTAAACAATACATAGTACAGAACACAATAGAGGACAAAAGGCTTGTATTATTCTGATTATCAGTTTGTGCCTTGAAAATATATCAACAATATCATAGAAATATAAGCATTATTCAGACTCACTTTGCCCCACGCCATCTCTCTCACACTTCCATTCTCCGCGACCGTTGCCCAAACACACACACTCCACCATGTGGCCGTCTGTGTGAGGCTTCCTCCATGTCTGTCCAATACGGTAGGACTTCTGCATGGCCTGGTCATTACACCGGTCTAAAAGGAGAACAATATTATCGTCTAGCCATGGAAAAACATTAAATACACATATAAACATCTAAAATTTCGATATATTGTCACATTTTAGGGCTACAAGTTAGACCTGGGCCAAGTACGGCCCGATCCACATTTCTAAGCTTCAATACTTGAAGGCTTGTATCAATATGTGCTATGGCATGTTATAAATGTATTCTGTTTTCATTAATGAATCCAAAATGTTTTTAAATAACCATGTGAAATAGGGGTCTGCCCCTCCACAATAAGGCAATATCCCAAAGTGGCCCGCTGAAGAAAAAAATTGCCCATCCCTGGTCTGAATTCAAATCCCTGAGAGACACCTGAGGCCCCTCCCCATTGGTCTATTGTTCTTCAGAAAACTGGCGGAGCTTGACTTACTTCTAGATGTGCAGGTGATGCGCCCGTTGCCCTCCCCCACACAGGTGCAGTCCAGCATCATCCAGCCCTGGTACGACTTCTCCCACGTCTCCCCCACCATATACGAGGACGCCCCTCCATTGTCGTAGCAACGCTCAGCTGTGCATAACAGAAGAAAAGAGTTACTAAGATAAGCAACTGACCCAGCATCTTGATTATCCAAAGTCTGTGAAGACATACAGGCTTTTTTAGATTATGTCCACGATCATGTTTAAGAGTCAAACCAAGTAGAATGCATTATGGTATATTTTACAATAAATATCAAATGATTATCAAAGGTAGAATCAAATTATGACTGAAGTAATATTGGGGTCAAATAAATAAATAAATAAAAACTAATCAAATCACATTACAGATATAAGTTCTGGTGTGCACTTTCAGCTCTGTCACACTGCGCAGACTGCGGCACTCTTGCACAGTTATTCCAAGGTGGTTTTACTATAATCGGCAAATAAACTGAATCTGAATTTCCATATACAACCATAACCCTCCAAATCCACTCTGATTCTGTGTGAATTATACCTCAATTATACCTCAAACTATTTGAAGACTATATCAAACAACTCTGATCAAATCCATTTCGAAATGAGGGCTGCGGCCATTTCAATCATCCCTTTCCCAACACACTGGGAAAGGGAAACCTAAAATGAACTTTTGGTCTGTTTGGCACTGATGCCACTAAAGACAAATATTTGTATACCCACTCATAATAGTTTTCATCCAAGTATGTTGTGAAGTGAAGTTGAATGTACAGACCCAGGGGTTTGCAGGTCCACTCTCCTTTGCCATTTCCCAAACAGACGCACTCCAGCATGTAGTTTTGCGTCTCGTGAGGTCTTTGCCAAGTGTCTCCGATTTTATACGACCTTCCAGATTCATGACAGCGGTCTGCAAACAACATGAACCTGTCACTTTCTAATCCGGGCAAACTATTTCGCACAGGGACTAACCGAAAACCTCAGTGCGGTTGTTTCATTTGGTATAATAGCACTCACTTGCGATGGTGCAGCTGATTTTGCCGCGTCCGGAGCCGATGCAGGTGCAGTCCCAGATCATCCCGTCTTTCGGCCGCTCGTAGGTCTCACCCACACGGTATGCCCGGTCATTGTACTTGTCAAAACACGTCTCCTCGACTGTGGAGCAAGAGCATGCAGCCATAGGATAGCAAAAGGTCACATTGTTAATTGAAGTGCGTTGGCATTAAAGCTGGGGTACTTAACTTTTGAACCACACACAAAAAAGAACAAAGTAATGCAATCTATTTAACGTGTAAATGCAAAAAAAGAAAAAAGAGACGGCCACTCTTGCTCAGCCATTCAACTACCAACCCTAACCCTAAGTGTGCGTATGTGTGCGTTCGTATGCGTGTGTTCGTTCTAGAACAAAAATTGCATTGATTTTGTTCACAGAATGCAGCTTTTTAAGATTATTTTCTTCTGTGAGGATAACGATAGTAATGAACAATAAAAGTTAGGTACCTCAGCTTTACGTGATAGTGCGTTGTTCATACAGACCTGCGGGTTTAGTTTTGCACTTGATGCCTGATGCTCCGCTGCAGGTGCACACCAGAGTACTGCCGCGGTATGGTTTCTCCCACTGCTCATTGACTCTGTAGGACACGCCATTCTCCTCACAGCCATCTGACCAGTGCCAATGCAAAATCATTAGTTACACCAAAAAAAGCGAAATATCACTAAAGTCGGCAGGAAACATGTGCCAATTACGCTGCAGTTGTCTCAGTGTTGAAAAGTCTCACCTGAAGTGCCCGTTGCGATCTCATGGAGTTGTGGATAAACCTGATACTGTCCTGTCTGTCTTCTGTTTTTGCTGTTCCCTGAATATGCAGTCGTTACGCACAGAGCCACTAACAAACTGGCAAGCGTTTTGGCCATGTTGAAAAAAAATATATATAAAAATATAATTATAATTGTTTAATAAGATAAATCACTGGAAAAGCAGTGGAATAAAGCCTGCTTTTTGGAGAGACCCTTTGTTCCACTCTGTTGCTGCTCTTAAGGCGGTGTGAGTCCGCCGTGCAGCTCTTGCACCAGGTCGAGCAGAGGCAAGCGGTCTGCTTTTATACTAGAGCAGGACTGCAGGAGGACTGGAGGAGGTCTGCAGGAGGAGGGCTGCAGGAGGAGGTCTGCAGGAGGAGGGCTCTGACTGGAGATGGTGAGCCATGCGCCCACTTCACACTAACTTCACTATTAGAATGAAACCACTCGAAACATAAAGCAAAGGAAACGAGCTATTTCTGTTGTAAATTGATGCTGAATAATCCCTTTGCTCCATTATAAATTACATTTCAATGCAGGGTTCCATTTTCTGTTGTAACATAGACAGAACTGGACACATAAGGACATCTAGGAACATTTGCGACATCAGTTTCCCCGCTTTACTTTACTTGCATTTCCTGTATCCAAATTGCTTCATTCTCAAATCCTACCAAAGATCATCCCTGATGTTGTGGATTTAAGGCAATTAATAAAATATAGGGGTGACAGTGGCTCAGTTGGTAAAGCATTGGCCTTTGGGCCTGAAGGTTGTAGGTTCGAACCCACCACAAGACATACTTCTAAACTCCCACTGATGACTGCTGTCGTTGTGTCCTTGGGCCAGACACTTAACTCGACTTTGCCTAAAGCCCCCGCTGAAATATCAAGGCTCCTGTGGACTCCTGCAGGAGGATCAGTGAGGGGCTGAGGCTAAGTGCACTGGGTGCAGCTCTGACTGAATAGCATTATCCAGATTGCTATTTCAAGCAGCTGCATATGTTTGAAATAAAAAACTGAATAGTTCATCAGATTATATTTATCTCTATTCCAACTAAAGCTTTCCCATCCCCTTCATTTGGACTAAAAGCCAAAGTCACCTCACTATGATAATGCTATAGTTTGTCTCCATCATTGTCCTGTTGAATAGCTCAGATTCTTGGTTGCCATGTTGACGCTAATGTTCACAGTATAATGAATTAAAGCTGTGGTTTGATTGGTGTAATGGTCACTTTAATCGCTCCAAATGCAGACACACCCAGACACTTAATCACTGTTTCTGCAGCACATCCATCAAACTGTCTCTCTTCATTTGTCTTCAGCTTACATAAGTATGTTCTAAAAACAAAACAAGATGAACTGAGGAGCGGGGTTATCATGATACAGTGGTTTGTCTATTTGTATAACAAAGTTCATACACAAGGCAACTCAAAGTGCTTAACAAAACAACAAAGAAACAGTCATACAAGGCATTTAAATCATAAATTGATTTGATCAATTTATGATTGATGTGTCTCGGACTCTCGGATTATAAATACAGGAGCCCCACAGGGCTGTGTTCTTTCTCCCCTGCTCCCTGTACACCAACCACTGCACTGATCAAGTTCGTGGACGACACCACCCTCATTGGACTCATCTCCAACAACGATGAGTCCGCCTACAGGAGGGAGGTGGACCGGCTGGTGTCCTGGTGCAGTGGTAACAACCTGGAGCTGAACGCCCAGAAGACAGTGGAGATGATTGTGGACTTCAGGAAGAGCACTGTCCCCCCGCCCCCACCCTCCGTGATGGACTCCCCCATCACCTCTGTGGAGTCCTTCCGTTTCCTGGGCACCACCATCACCCAGGACCTCAAGTGGGAGCCGACCATCAGCTCCCTCATCAAGAAGGCCCAGCAGAGGATGTACTTCCTGCGGCAGCTCAGGAAAGCCAAGCTGCCTGCACAGATGTTGGTGCAGTTCTACACGGCCATCATCGAGTCCATCCTCACCTCCTCCATCACCGTGTGGTTCGCTGGAGCCACAGTCAGGGACAAACAGAGACTACAGCGCATTGTGCGCTCTGCAGAGGAAGTGATCGGCCGCAGCCTTCCATCGCTGCAGGACCTGTACGTCGCCCGAGCTCGAGGCCGGGCTGGTCGTATCAAAGCCGACCCCTCTCACCCTGCACATGGACTATTCCAACCACTCCCCTCAGGCAGGAGGCTGCGGTCCATCAGGACTAGAACCTCCCGCCACAAGAACAGTTTCTTCCTCTCTGCAGTTGGACTCTTGAACACTTTATAACCGTCCCCCCGCCCTCTAAAAGTCCCCTACTGCTCTTTTTAAAGTCCCCTACTGCCCTTTTTAATGTCACTTTACTGCCCTTTATAATGTCACTTTACTCTGCTGTCACCTTACATTGTGTGCACCATGTGCACTTGTATATTGTAGATAGTAATTGTAACTCTATTTTAAATGTATTCCTTAGAAGTGCTTTTTATTTTTTATTTTCTTATTATGCCTTCTCTACCCTTACCTCTCTTTTACTTACGTGGCAATAAAAATGATTCTGATTCTGATTCTGAAACAGTGTTGTCTTTCCAATGTTTTCTCTGTATTTATAATTTAAAAACATGCTAGGTTAAATCCTCCAGCTCCTGTTGTCGTGACCAAGCCAAGCATCAACATCTGACTGTTAAAACTATAGGACCCCGGGCTCTGTACTATGGTGCCCACTGCTCCTGATAGACGCCCTAGGGGCATTCCAGGATCCCTGGATCCCCAGGATGGGTCAAATGCAAAGGTAGAATTTCTCTACAGGGATAAATGAAAGTGCACCTGCTGCACAATCTGAGAGTTATTTCCTTATTTTTAATAGCGTCCTTTAAAGCCCAATTATCATAATCAAATAAATACAGCAATATATTCTGTACATTTTGAAATTAATATAGTTACAATACATTTTAAGTTTATTTAATAACATGTATTTTGTTACTCCCAAATACTGCAATGCGATACTGCATACAACTGTTTTAATTGAAAAAGCGTTTTTAAGCATGTGGATCCAACTGTGTTATATTCTTATACGTACATATAGATCCAAAAAAGTACATACTTACTTTTTATAGTTTATACTTACTTTTTGTATAAAAATTTTTGATTAAAAGTTACATCATTATGAGACATTTTGAGTCAAAATGTTTTCATCTCAATGGAATTTTACTGGTTAATTATAATTATAATAATAATAATCTGATCTGTGAAAGGCACAACCAGTTTCAAAAAATAGATGCTCTTTGTGGTTTCATTTTCCATGTGGCCAAACATCTCCACTATGTCTAGTCTCCAGGTTAATGAGTGGACACGATTACCATCGTGTCTCATTCCCTCATTACACTCAGACATTGGTTTGGTGCCAAAATGGTGGCAGTCTGTTTGGTTCAACTGTATGAATGTCTTAGTCATGTTGTGACCCACAGTCTGAGGTTGGGGCATGTCCAGGTTCAGAGAAAACACACGTCCCAATGAAAACAGACACAACATAAAGAACATTAAAGAAATTAAAAAACTCACCTCAAAATTATACCGACCTTTCAACTCTGATACAATACATTTACCTACAGAAAAATGGAACATAGATTTTAATACAGAACTCACACAGGAACACTGGACAGAAGCTTGTAAAAACATCTTTTCTATGACACCCAACACCAATCTGCAATTAATCCAATATAAAGTCATACACAGGTCACACATCACACAACACAGGATGCATAAAATGGGACTAGCAGATACAGCCATCTGTTCACAATGTACTATGGGGGCCACTGATACCTACCTACATGCACTTTGGGAATGCACTCCTGTACAGGCTTTTTGGAACACTATCACACAAGAACTCTCACACATCCTGAGCTGCAGAGTCCCTTTTCTTCCCTCGCTTTGTTTACTAGGTCTCACTTCAACAACAACAATACTGCCTAGACATAAGAACAGTCTACTCACATCCCTAACTGTCGCCAAGAAAATAATACTCCAAAACTGGAAAACAAAACACACAATCAACATCAATCATTGGACCAACTCTCTTACTCAATACATAACATCCTCTCAAATTGCAGCTTGCCATGATGATGACATGACTTCCTTTACATACTCCTGGTCACCATTCATTAGTCACTTCGACATCAACCCCAATAATTTCTCAACATCAATTTAATCCCCAACACCCAACCACAAATTAATATACCAAAGAGACTAAAAGTGCCACTCACATTCTTATAATCCTTCACATATAAACAGACGTACATACACAACTGCACACACATGCACGCATACATACACTCTCGCACACCCTCTCCAAATAGATAAGTTAAAATCAGTTACTATTATTATTTATATATGAATTTAGGATCATTTATTTCCATATATTTATTTATTTGTTTACTTACTTCCTCACGTCGCTGTTATTGTTGTTATTGTCATTATTGTTATTATAATTGTTATTATAATCCATCCATCCATCCATCCATCCATTTTCTACCCTTTAATCCATTTCTGGGTCAGGGGGGTGGGAGTCAGAGATGCCACCCAAGTCTCATTGCACCAGCCCCTCACTGACCCTCTGCAGGTGGTGAGTCCACAGGAGGACGGCTGCTCTCTGAGTGTGAGCATAGCCTTGATCTTTCAGTGGGGGCTTTGGGCAAAGTGGGGTTGAGTGTCTTGCCCAAGGACACAACGACAGCAGTCATCAGTGGGAGTCGGTGGAGAAGGTGCAGAACCCACGACCTTCTGGCCTTAAGGCCAATGCTCTACCAACTGAGCTACTGTCACCCCGTTATTAGGCCCGAGCCCCGAACGGGGTAAGGGCCTATTGCTTTCACAATGGTGAAAACAAATGGTGGCGGTGCGTGACGGATGCGTCAGCGCCCGTCACTCACCAAAATGTGACAGTTGCGTGCGTAAACTCAAAAGCTTTAAAATGATGTATCACATGCCATTGAAACCTATATTGTTTTTGCTCGAGACGTTAACAAAAAAATTCCTTTTTTATTAGGCCCGAGCCCCGAACGGGGTAAGGGCCTATTGCTTTCACAATGGTGAAAACAAATGGTGGCGGTGCGTGACGGACGCGTCAGC